TTCATGTTAGATGGGGCAATAATTACTTGGTTTGATATAAAATTTCAACATCTGCTCGGGACATTATTAACTTTTACATATCATATTAGTCTACAAACTACCCAAATTATTTTTTTATTGCTCTAAATTTACAGAAAAAATGACGAAAATCAAAGAAAACATGATAAACATCAAACAAAAAACTCGAATAGTAAAAAAAAAATTGCAAAAAATAAATTGGCAAGTTATATAGCATGTTAATAATGCCAGTATACCATGAAACACAAAAAACTGCACAAGTCAAAAAAATCATCATGTTGAAAAACTTTTTCAATATACCGGACTACCGCAGATAGTAATATAGAGTGATGATATTTTAGGTCTTTTAGATAGGTTGCTACAAAAACGTCATATTCATTTCATAAAATCAAGTATCCAATGATAACTTTTTTGATGAATGACTGCGAGATTTTCCGGCTTTCATTCGTTTTCTTTAACCTTTCCTTTTACCCACATTTTGGGGTGATAATTTTATAATAAGTTGTTCATTAGTCGATTTACTGACTTTTTCAGATATATTTATTTGGGCTTTAAGGAATAGCTCAGTATGCTGTTTTCTTTGGTTAAAAGACATTTCTGACCAGTTATGGGGCTCCAGAGAGAACGCGCTTTTAATAAAATAGGATTGCAAATCATATGGACCAGTTCCAACGAATGCTTTTTGGACATCAGTATATATATATAGGATGAGCAAACCAATTCACCCAGTATTTTTATTAGATCAGGAAGTTTCCTCTGCTGCCATTCTGTTGTTCTTTTAATTGCATGATTAATAGGTTCACAATTGTTGTTCGTCCAGCCGCGACCGGTGTTATTTTTGTATTTCCATACCTTGTTCTTTAATAGGGGTAGGAATCGACTTTGCAAGTATGAAAGCGCACGTGGGCAATGGGTTCCAACATAATTCAACAATTCAGTTTCTGGAAGATCGTATTCGCATTGGTTTTCACCATTTTCAAGATAAAATACGGCAGTTACAGCCGTCTTGCGAAGGCTGACACTTGCCCCAACTTTGTCTATCAAATATCTAACAAGGTTATTCCTTGACTGCCTACAACATAGGGTATGTCCAAAGCTGGTGGAGGAATTGGTGATTGCAGTATGGAGCGCAATCTCGTCGTCCGATTCAAATATTAATTTGATGACCTGGGTGACAAATTATGACATGGTTAATCAGTGCCGGATTATAGCCGCGTTGATAACGGATAGGTACCGACATGGGCGCAGCCAAAATTTTTGGTGAAATTAAAACAGAGCACCCAAAGTACAATTCACGACGGCGTAAGGCGTTTAATACACTGAAAATAATGCGTCGTTCACAGCGAAATTCCACAGTTACGTGTAGCCCGCCTCTCTTTGCCTGGTGGTTTATGATGAATATTTTGCAACCTATTTCAAATATCGACTATTAATTCGTAGTCAGCAGTACCCGCATTTGAAAATAGAACATTAGAAATCGTGAAAATTGATTTTGGAGAGAAGTATAACTAGCGGATGTCAGTAGCGTCAAAATCGTTCATAAGTACAAAAACACGCTCGCATATAGCGCCGATCAAATGCATTAAATATGAAACTATTACTTGGATTTTAATGTTAAACAAGTTGATTTTTAATTGCCGTTCAATGATAATTAACATGCACCGTAATTAGTGGTGGGAAAATTGGTTTTTTTTAGTCGAATTATTGGAATATTTTCAACGAACGCAACACCGAATGATGAGTATTGTCATTTCAAACAACCGTAATTGGGATGTCGGCCGCCAAAACGATCTCCGTGACAATATTATTTTTCGGAATTTACTTGAAGACTGAAAACTTCGCAACTTTCATAATTTTGTCATAATCCAAGGCCGCAGTAAATAATTTTGTCACCGCGATCCTTCCGGCTATGATCACACACCATCATGCGGCCATATATTTTTCTTCAGACTTGTTGAACAGGCACGAAACGTGGTGCTTTTAAAGTATTGGTTTTATTGGCAATGCTTTGATGTTCTCAGGAAATACAGTCATAACTTCTATAAAAAATTTCAATACAATTCATATGATGTAAGTTCATGTGGAGTTTATTTCATCAGCATATCTGATGATTTGTTTGAAGATGTCATAAACAATAGCCATAAAATTAAATTTGAGTTTACATTTCCCTCATATCTCTACCACCATCTATACACAAGACTGTTCGTCTCCGTGCTTATATCTTAGGAATCTAAAAAGTGTATTATTGCAGCTTAACTTATTCAAATAACAATGCGTGGGTTCATAACATATTTGATTTTTGATCTTTAATTCTGAATTTTAAGAGTACAGTACAGATGTTCAAATTTTCACATCAGGTTTCAATTCAACTCGCAATTCAATTATGCAAAAAATAGTTCAGGCTTATTGCTAGTTGGGCTACGCTTAAATTAATATGACGTCATAGAACAACAGCCAAAGCACCATTACTTGACGTCAGTACCATACAGTCTTACATTCAAATCATGAAAACCATCAAAAGAAGAAATGTCAGAATAAATTTCATGATGTACATTCAGAATAGTGTTCAAGCAAGACGATGATCTTTGACAAGACATGCTAACGTTACAAATGCTATCATTGATGAAGCAGCTATGGCAAGAAGAAGGACTAGATTTGTATTTGCTCCAATATGGTTGTATCAGCACGGGTGAGTTATGTAGTCACATAGTATATACAAAAGTAGAACATCTTGAATTACCAAAAGTAGTTATTCCCAAATAGTGACTAGCAACCAATGTTTTGGGTAAATTTCGATTGATTCTAACCAACAATGGCGGTGCAGTTACGGTCAACACACTAAGGATAAATTCGCTAACCTGCATGGTCATAACCAGAAAATCGTCAATTGACAAAGGCATTTTCGATATCATTGGTAAACGTTTGTCGGGTATTGCTAGCGATGAACGGCAGAGCGTGTTTTGCCTAAGATTTACATGTGTGTAGCCTACATGTGGAGGAAATACACCTTAATTTTTAGGTTTTATAACATTAACATTTTTAGGTATTGGCGACAGACATAATGACAACATAAGGGTGACCACAAATGGCAATCTTTTCCACATCGATTTCGGACATTTTCTCGGGAATACTAAAAGATTTTATGGAATTCAACGAGAACGTTGACGCCTGACTTCGTACACGTGATGGGCACTGAACATGGAGCGATGTCCCAAAAGTTAAGGTACGTTTTGTGAGTAATCCTTGACGCCAAATGTGTGAAAAGCAACTTGGAATTTAGCTTATATATATTTGTAGGTTGGGTGCATTTCATCATCTTCAAGTGACTTATTTTTTGGATTTTTATTAATTACTCAGGTAGTCGTGAACGCTAGCGTTGACCTTTGTCTCATGTTTGGCAATTTTTTTCCGCCAAGTTGTTTCATTGAGAGTTTTGACTAGCATACTTTCCCGTTTAGGGCTAACAGATATTTGCGTGCCAGCCTACTAGGCGCTCTTGTTGTCGATTTTTAACGAGTTTTCTTAATTCTATCTCAGTTAAAATTCACTTTTTAACAGGACTCGTGTGTGCATTCGTCTGATTGAGTTTTTTGGCGATAGGGGTTCAATTGCAGAATGACGATTGAGCAAAGAATTAACATTAAATTTTGTGTCAAATTTGGAAAAATGCATGTCAACTCGGCATGCATTCAATCGTTGAGCTTTCTGCTCCTCAGTCAACTCAAGAGCCTTTGGCATCATTTTGGCACACACCTTTCGCATTCCCAAAGTGTCAACCAAAATGGTGCGGACCGTTTCTTTGTTCATCCCAATTTCGTTGGCAATGACGCGAATTGTTAAGCGACGGTCACTGCGAACCAACTGCCAAACCTTTTCAATGTTGGTATCAGTAGTGGAAGTGCAAGGCCTCCCTGACCTCGGATCATCCTCCACATCCTCCCTGCCTTCCACAAATCGCTTGTGCCATTCAAAAACTCTTGTTCTGAACATGGAAGAATCTCCATAAACATCACGCAACATCTGCAAAGTCTCAGTCGCCATTTTTCCAAGTTTGACACAAAATTTAATGTTAATTCTTTGCTCAGTCGTCATTCTTCAATTGAACCCCCTATCGCCAAAAAACTCAATCAGACCTCGCACAGCATTTTTTTTCAACAAGAAATTTATCACATTCACTTATGGATCCTGAAAAGCAAAAATATTTGCGATATTGTGTCAAAACAGCTGTTAAACAAAGAACACATATTACGCCCCACTGCAAAAGTGTTGATTACCGATGGTTAATCGTGTCGCGCAATCTGTGACGTAGGTCCCGTTTCTTTTTAGCCTTACCAATGACGATATACGTTGGGCCTGTAAGAAGTTTGATTAGGCAATACACCGGATAGTTCTTGTTACCTTGTGTTCACAATTAATATGTATAAGCCAATTGTTCATAGTGAAGTTCACTTATATTCACATCTCTGTTATTCTACATGTTCTAATTCTTTCACAAAGTGAAAAAGAAGCAAGGGAACACTTCCTCAACGAAATCAGTGGCGTCATAAAAAAGAGTTGGACTGTTCAAGTTACCTGGTTTATGCATTCAATTATGCATTCAGGAAATTCATAAATGGTACTTTGTTTGAGAAAGCAAGACATATTGCAATTTGGGTAAGCAAAACGTTTTTAGCGACATTGCAAAGTGTATTTTATCAGATAGAATTAGAATGAAAAATGAAATTACTCAAACTTTGCACTTCAATGGTGTTTCACACCAGCTACATATAATTTGATATTATACTTGAAAAGCAAATTTCATTGCTGACGTACATTTAGGAATTCTGTTCGACTTGCTCTGTGGTGTTGCTATGTTACGTAGTTTTAAGTTCGTTTCTTTCTTAGGGATGTTTAACATATACTATATTTTGTCACAAAAATGAGTACGGTATTGAACTACATTTGTTTCACAGCGAATATATTTTGAAGATTGTAGTTGAATCGTTACGAAATATAAGACTTACATACTTGAGTTTGATGCCTTTATATTTCAATAGGTTTTTTATATAACAGCGCAAAGATTTATTCACAAAACAAACATGTTGATATGAATTTTGGGAGAATTTAGATAGTTCCATTTACTCTATCATTTCAACTTTCAAATTTTTAATTCTTTCAAATATACGAGTTTTAAAATAAATGTAACCTTTTTATTGTATTTTCAATCTTTGTCCTTATCTTCTGAACACAACATAACCTTTTACATACTAGTCATCCTAAAGTGCAGATTTAATACATGAACTTCAGACGGTTTTGTATATATTTGGAAATCTTTTATTGCAGATATTGATAAAGTTTGTCAAATCGCAGCATCTCGGTTTTATTTTGTATATTGTGCACTCTTGCTACTTTCTCGTCAATGACTTGATAACTTCCTTGTGTTTAGGATACATTGTAATCAATTCTTTAGCCGTTGGTTCATAATTATCTTCCATTTCAAACCCAGGAGAGACGGTAATTCCGAAAAGAGAATATTTTCCCACGTCGGGATTTGTCAAGCGTGCGCCGTACCAGTCACCTTCAAAATATAAAGAAAGTTTATCATATCAATATCGTGACTGAAAATGATCTGTCAATGGACATAGATATCGTGTTATACAAATATCGTCGACCATTTAATATGTAACAAAAGACATACCTCGTTTCACTGCAACTACAAAGTTTTTGGCCGAATTTTCGAGGTAATGACACGTAAGTTCCCCAGTCACATGATCAATGACGAACAGGGTTAGTTTCGCTCCTTGATAAAAATGCCACAGCTGATCCGAATTTAGTCGATGGAACACAGCAAAGACTTTATTCTGGTTTAAAAAAAAAGGCAATCTACAACGGAAGTATTATTCATGTGTCGTATTCAACCTCTTTGAATTTCTGGAATATGTTAAATATTTTTTTGGTGACATTAGATTATCGTATAAGTTTATCACAGGTAATTATATATATTATTTATTGAGAATATTCGGAAATTTTACAACAAGGAAATTCTAAATAGCGAATAGGTGTCATCAGATATGGCGTTATATAAATGAAATATAGCGGCCAGTTATTACATAATAGTACTGGTACTGGTTAATAGTACTAGTTTGTTCTTTTCTCAGCAAACTTTACCTCCAGTAGGTAGTAAGTATGTGTGCCAAAGACTCTAGTTGCGTTTTCTCCATATCTTTCTGGAAGATGACTTATTTTTTCTGTACTTCTGTATATTTCAGTGAACCAAGCTCTATCGTGATTAATATTCATGTTGAATTTGTCAATCCAATAATTTGCATCAATCTCGAATTTGTCAATCAAGTAATTTGCATTCTCGGTCTGAAAATAAAAAACCATCCGCAAGTAAATTATTTGATATTCTGGTTTGTGTTGTCATATTTCCTTTAGATATTATGAATGATGTAACGGCTCTTAAGCTAACATTTAACCGTTATTAAACCAGTCGGTCGACAATCATAAACCATGTTGCTTAATTGCAATAACACTGGCCGAGGCTTAGTCAATTGACTCAATAAAAAATTATTTATATTCAATTATAATACCTTCAACGCTATTGTAAAGTGATTAATGTGCTTCGTGGTAAGCAAATATATACCATAGAACAGTGGTTCTTAAACTTTTTGAGCCGCGCCCCCCTTTGAAAATATTTACAAACTTCGCGCCCCCCCTATTTTTGCTTTGAAAAAATGCTTTTGTGATGGGCAGGTTGCTATTTAATGAGATGGCACTACAAGAGTGTTGGTCTCATATCGTCATTGCTCAGATTGTTTAGGCATAAAACGCTCCGGAGTACAACTTTGCCATTCACTGTCGTATGTATAAAGCCAAATAATGGTTGGTCATCATACATTCTCGTATTTCCCCTCAGTTTGTAATACCTGGTAAAGACAAACTAATTTTTAAGTAAAACTAAACACGCAATGAACCTATGCTTTAATGTATTTTCTGCTTAAACGTTTACATAAGAACTTGAAATTTCAATCAATTGTTTACTTCATCACTATTGAGAGATGCCAAAATTATTTACTGTGTGTTAAAAATAAGCAACAATTACAGACTTCTTGGCTTGCGTAACGTTTCAAACAAAATGGAGAAGTACAAATGAATTTATGTAAATTTAAAAGCAGTTCATTTTTTAATAGTTATTATGAATGTGGACGTTTCCTCGGCCCTTAACCACTGAAAAATAAAGTCGCTAAGGCGTTTGCGATTGCATTTTGTTTAAATCTCGATTGTTTTCGTAAGCGTGGCCCGCTATGCCGTAAAAATCTTGATTTTGGTGTTTTTTCTCCCTAAATCAGAAATTTCCCTCAACATATGCTTGTGTCGCGAAGACGATTATAATTACTTTTTTTATTTTCGAATAGAACCATGACATCTCTGACGAAAACGAGTTAGTTTTTATTATATAATCATCAGCGACGAGATGCTAAAGATAGAATAAAGTAGTGAATCAGCAACCAAATATTTCTTTATTGTAAAAGCGAGATTATAAAATACTAAAAATAAAACGGAAAACACCATGAGTTTTGTTTTTGGGTGGACCGCGACAGATTAAAAACACTTTCTTAGACATTGCAAATCTCATGAATTCCTTGTGCCTGCGGCACACCAGTAGTGTTCTAAAACTACCGACTTGAAATAAATTTTACTCCGTGGGATATTATCGTAGACTAAGGAATTAATCGAGCATTGCGATAAAGCGGAGTAAGAGTTGCAGGGACAGCTCATAATGGTGACATTGGCAAGAATACAAATCAAAACAAAATGTAATCGGGCACTTTGCCACACATTTTTATGGTTGCGGATTACCGTGGTATTTTGGAGTAGTGGTGCTTTTATTTTATCGACGCAATCGCAGATTTAATTTATCACAATCAAATGAATAAAGCAAACATTTTAAATGAATATTTTATTCAACACGAAAACCATTACATATCCGTTGACAAAGTTGGCTCTTATAAGGACTGGCGTAATGTCGAGGACAGACTCAGGATTCGTACCGCGGGGATTTCGAGTCGATGAATATGTATTTTAATTGTACTAAATTAAGTATACTTTCTGGGATATTATACCAGATTTTTCTAATGAAGTCAACGAATTCGCATCAGTGCAATATATATCAAAACGAAATATAATAGGGCAGTTGATCACACTTTGATATGTCCGCGGATTGGCGTGGTATTTTAGATCGGTAATGAGTTTATTTTGACATGAGTCGCCGCAACCGCAAGTTACCTTGAACACAAATGAATTAAAATAGAGAGACATTTTGAATTTTTTTAGTTATTACGAGACAGAAAAAATTATTATACCACGAAAAAGCTGGTATTTTCAATGAACGCGGAGACCGTTTCAGGAGCCGTTACATGTAAATTTCCGATTCCATCTTGTGACCTTTTGCGCCCCCCCCTGTGAGCATCTCGCGCCCCCCTAGGGGGGCGCGCCCCCCAGTTTAAGAACCACTGCCATAGAAAGATTCCATTTTCTGTATATGAATTTCAAATGAGGAAATGTTTGCGCGTATTTTTCTAGGTTCATGTACATTCTTTACAGTTTTTACAAATCAATTCGCAGCAATGTTCAAGTAATAAAATACCTCAATAACAAAACAGGTTTACGGAACTAGCCACGAATAAATCTCGGCTGTTTTAACATATGAATTGCATGCTGAACGCTCAATAAATTTGGGTAAATTTTCTCCCTTTGGTGTTACTTGAATCGAAAGATCGCAACTTTAGGAATATAATACTTCTTAGAGTAGACGACCGCGGGTGGCTATGAACTTCGTTCATCAGACAAAGATTGCGCGAGTTCCACCGCCCCCTCGACCAAAAAAAATACCGTTCTCTTAGTTACAGATATCATTTAAACCGAATTCAATGATAACGTCATGTTGGTTATTGAATGCATTATGATGTCATATCAAAAGACGTCACAGGTGACATTTTGAAAATCTGCATAATCTATTAAATTGTAGTTATAAGCAAGTATATTTGATAACAGCTTGAATTTGAAAACATTAAGAAGTCCAAGGTTATGATAATAAAACTTCGTGGTACCATACATAGCTGAGTAGCGTGGTACCATAGTACGCGTACATAGCTGAGCAGCTGCCCTACCCGCTCGGTAGGCTTGAGGCTGATCACTCACTATATTATAAACTAGAGTTAAACGAGGCCGTGTCATGAGTAAATGCCATACCAATACCGATATCATACAAATGGCCTATATTGCCGATACCGATATATCGGTACATTTCTAACTCGTGGTTAATCATTTTCAGCGCAATCTGCATTCCTAACTCTAACTAAATAATTACTAATTTTCCTAATTTTTGAGCGTTGGCTGGAGTGTTTTTTGCGAGGGCTTTGTAGAAAAGATCCGAATTCTGGACTGAAAACATAAATATCTCACCAGTTTTTTTCCTGTACCTTCATGAAAATTGATCGCTGAAACAACCAAACAAAAAATTGTGAATAACTTCGGCAGCATCATCTTCGTCGTCCGAAAATATGGTGTTTGTCTTTTTTGAAATTTTTCTTTTATATGGCAGCGACCTCTACGTACTTTTTATCCCGAAGGCAAGTTTTCATACAAATTCTTATATTACGGGTTTTAGAGTGACCGATCTGAAGCACGTCATTTGGGTCTCATTTTTCTTAATAAAAATGTAAGTACGTATTTGCGGATTTCTCAACATTTTACCGGGAACGGTGTGAACAAAATTCTTTACTCTTCTGTTAATGTGGCAGATCGCAAGTTCAAAATTGCCCAATACTAGTCAAGACTGAAATTTATAAGTGTCATTATTGAAATCCCATTATTTTTGCATGGAATATGGTTACAAGTTATAAATATAGTAGATAATACCAGACGCGGTACCTGTGTTATTTCGAACATTTTAGTGGTTTAATTTAATAATATTTTGTCAATGGACTTTAATTTTGCCGCATGTGGTAAATAAAACCGTAAACGCTTGGTAGGCTACGTGGAATACCCACTTCTACTCATAGTTAAACCAGCTTTAGAGCGATCGTAAGACGAACCATAATGTTACGTTCTCGCTATTTCATCGCAGCTAAAGACAAGACTCGATGTGCCAAACTTTTGGGGCCTAGTTGGTACAGTGTACAGTGGTGGGGTCTGAACAGCAGCTTTGAAGGTCTCAAGCCTGTTTAGTTCAACCTAACTTGTGTATTAAGCTTTTCTGACAAGAATTTCATCAAGAACAATTACAGAACACAAAATTCTGATGAACATATTATGCAAAACTCACTCAAAGTTGCGGTGTAAAGTTACACACCAGAGAACAACATACTGGTGAAGAACATGCAACGTCATGTTTCCCACTAACTGACGCGGGAATGGATTTGGTTACGGTTGAAAATAAGATATTTATAATATATATTAGTTATTTGCAAAATGTAACATTTGATATAGCACAACTGCTAAATCCGTTTTATTTTAGACATGTGTAGGATGTATTGTGATTTCCTATGCTGTTATAGAAGTAGATTGATTTTGAAACGTTCAATTTAAAAAACACTAAATTTGAAAACTTGAGTGGTATTATTTAATATTTTTTTTTCTATGGGTAATTATAATTGGTGATAATTTTATGGAAAATCTTTATCATACCATTAATAGTAATACATGAAGCCTTATCGAGCTAATTGGCCCTTCGGAAGTGTGCATCCAACAGATAGCCCTTAGCTTAATTCAGTGGTTCTCAACCGGGGGCCGGTGGCCCCCTAAGGGGGCCACGGAGAAGTTTGAGGGGGGGCCACGACACAACACTAATAATTGATCATAAAGCGACATTGTTTGCATACTTTCCTTTTAAAATAAAATTTCCCGTTCAGGCGTTCATCGCAGTTTCGTTACCTGAATAGGTTATTTGCGATCACAGGGTGTATTCACTTTCTTGAGCGTGATTTGTTTAATCACAATGAAATTTGGAATCAACCAATCAAAATAGTTCACCAGTAGGCTGTCTAACTTGCAGACTGGCAGTTCCACTAGACTGCGAGATAACCTTTGCTATCGTATTATAGACGCAAAAACCCATTTGTAAATTCCTAATGCCCAAAATACGAGAATGGAACGACAGTTGCGTTGGCTTTACCCAAGTAAATCGAGATGGCAGAGAATGTGCACAATGCCTACATTGCTCGTATGTAATGAGCAATAAATCATTACGTCCATCTAAACTCCAAAACCATCGTGACAAAAATCCTCCAGGGTTGAAAGAAGTGGGCATCGCTTTCTTTGCTGCCAACCAAGTTAGATTTGACACTGACAGGAAAGCAATATTAGACAAGTTCGGGTTTCTGGCGGAGGAAAAGCCTGGTTATGGTTTTTCTGATATTATTACCATCAGCACAAAATCTAGAAACCGTCTTGATGTTGACAATGACACTCGTCTAGCTATGTAAAAGACGGTGTCTCATATGAGAAACCTCGTCAGACAGTCCCAAGCGCAAGATTTCCTTTGATTGTATACTGGAGAGCTTTTACTTCTTTGTCTGTGGTTTGCTTTTGCATTCCATAATAGGTCGTAAAAACATAATACAATCCAACACGTTCAGTATTTTGGAATGGCGGACAGGGGGGCCACGAGTGCAAAAGGGCACCGGAAGGGGGCCACGAACCATAAAAGGTTGGGAACCACTGGCTTAATTGGTACCCAGGAAGTATCCCTTGGCTTCATGAAGGCTGGCGACCACTGAATAAGTATTGGCGAACAAGGAAGCTTCCGGTTATTCGAAAAAAATATTCTCAGCTTGTCAGCTATATTTGCTTATATGTTGAAGTCATGACCAGATTTTTTCAAAGAATCCCATTTTTTTATTCCAAATCAGTGAACCATTCATTCTTCATTGATATAAGTTTGAAAGCCACAATGTAATAAAACTACAAGACATGGTTTGTATGACAGGAAAGGGATTGACGTCATCCTCAACCAAACTCCGTCAGAGGGTTAACTATGACTCAGTATTTGTGCTGCCAAATTTCAAAATACAGTAGTTGCACAATTTCCACAAAAGAATAAATAAAAATACACTTATAACCTCAATACAAGTATACAAGGTAAATACCAAATTATAACTACTTCGAAGCACAATAGAAAAAAGACCCAATTTTGGTGTGAGTGGGATCAGGTGATCAAACTTCAGTTCGCATGTCAAAATACTTGCATGAAAAGCTTGTAGTCGTAAGTCATATAAGAAAATGAAATTAGTTGTGTTTCGACCTTGTTTCAGTACATTCAACAAAATGCTGTTACTGATACTCAGACAAACTACACTCTACAAAAATTGCAGAGAAACAATTGCTATGATCACACCATCATGCGCCATATATTTTTTCAGACTTGTGGAACAGGCACGGATTACGGAATAATCTTTTTTTTATTTTAAGTATTCGCAATGCTTCGATGAACACAGGAAATACAGTCATACTTTTCATAAAATCAACGTTTTTGAAGCATTATAAATACAGTTTATATGATTTATGTTTATGTGGAGGGGATTTTACCATTAGCATATCTGATGATATTTTCCAAGATGTCATAAACAATAGCCATAAAATTGAATATGGGTTTACATTATCTTCATATTTCTACCACCTTCTATACACAAGACTGTTCGTTTCCATGCTTATATCTTAGGAATTTACAAAGTGTATTGTTGCGGTCTAACTTTTTTAATTAGCAATGCGTGTTTCATGACATATGCGATTGTTGTCAATTTTTGATCTTTGATCTTTAATTCTGAATTTCAATTCAAATTCAAATTCAACTCTTCATTCAATTCTGCAAAAAAACAGTTCAGTTATGATTTGACTCTCTAACTAGTGCTACCGTGTTTCCCCGATAATAAGACAGGGTCCTCTTTCAATTTTCTTCCGAAAAACAGCACTAGGGCTTATTTTTGGGGAATGCCTTTTATTTTCATCAATGAATCTTTTACCCTTTCACGCGTTTATGATTAATCATTCAAAACGTGTAAGAAAGATTTATTGCTATCGACTAGGTCGGAAAAAAAAATCGCGCTCTCGACTAGGTCTTATTTTAAGGAGAGGGCTTATATTAGAATCATTTTTTAAATTCAGGTTAGGTATTTTTTTCAGATTAGGTCTTATTTTCGGGGAAACACGATAATGCTTACCTCAGACAAACCACACTCTATACAATAATTGTACAGAGGCATTTGCTATGATCACCCTATCGTGTGGCTATATTTTTTTCAGACTTGTTGAACAGATACGGAACAGTCAGTATTGGTTTTATTAGCAATGCTTCGATGTACACATAAAATAACTTTCATAAAACTAACGTTCTTGAAGCATTATAAATACAGTTTATATGATGTATGTTTATGTGGAATTATTTCACCATTAGCATATTTGATGATTTGTTTCAAGATTTTATAAACAACAGACATAAAATTAATTTTGAGTTTACATTTTCCTCATATCTCTACCACCATCTATACACAGGACTGTTCCCCATGCTTATATCCTAGTATATTACAAATTGTATTGTTGCGGTTTAACTTATTCAATTAACAATGCGTGGGTTCATGACATATTTGATTGTTGTTAGTTTTTGATCTTCAAATCTGAATTTTAAATTATGCTACATTTGAAAAGTTAAGCCGCCCCCGGGATATTCGCGGTCGCATTGTATGAGCTTCTGATCAGATAAATGCCTCTGTTTTGTATGAATATTGATCTCATTTTGATATTTTTAATGACATGACTTAATACAGTAAATGCTATTCAAAACATTCTCAGTATTGCTTAGTTGACGTTTGAGAGAAGAGCTAGTACTTTGCGTGTATAACCACTATGTTTCAACTATACACAATAAACATTTCAACGCAAAATAAAGCATAAACGCCCAGGGCGTTTGGCATGTTTTAGTAACCTCCCAGAAAGCGCTGATTTCTAGTTGTCTCGCTTGACAGCAAAAATTAAAAATCCCAATTATTAATCCAAATCAGTGAATCATTCGTATCTCATTGAGATAAGTTTGAAAGTCATAATAGAATTAAACTACAAGACATAGCTTGTATGACAGGAAAGGGATTTACCCTACTCTCAATCCAACTCTGTCAGAGGTCAAACTATGACACAGTATTTGTGCTGCCGAACGACAAAATGCATCATTATAAAGTTGCACAAATCTCAAGAAAGAGATGAATGAAAATACACTCAATCGCATTGTATGAGCCTATGATCATCGAAGGTATACGCTTCTTTTTTGTATGAATATTAGAACTTCGAATATTCCAGTCTCATTTTGATATTTTCAATGAATGAATACAGTAGATGCTATTGTTTTATAATTGCTATTACTTTCTAATTAGTTTTTCTTCTCGAATAATCTATATTTTGCACTATAGATAGAGATAACATTCGCAGTATTGCTTTGTTGGGGTTTGAGAGAGGAGCTAGTACTTTGCGTGTATAACCACTATGTTTCAACTATACACGATAAACATTTCAACGCAAAATAAAGCATAAACGCCCAGGGCGTTTGGCATGTTATCGATGTTCGATAAGTCTGAAAGTCATAATGGAATTAAACTACAAGACATAGTTTGTATGGGGAAGGGATTGTCCTACTGTCAATCCAACTTCTTCGGAGGTCAAACTCAGTATTCAGTCACGCAGTATTTTTGCTGCCAAACGTCAAAATACAGTATTATAAAGTTGCACAAATTCTATGAAAGATATGAATGAAAATATACTTCAATACAAGTATATATACGAAGTGAATACCAAATAATAACTACTTTAACGCAATGGAAAAAAGACCAAATTTTGGATATGAGTGTAATCAGTTGATCAGACTTCATTTCTCATGTCAAAATGCTTGCATGAAAAGCTTGTTGTCGTAAACCATATATGGAAATGAAATTAATCGTGTTTCGAGCTTGTTTCAGTACATTCAACAAAATGCTGTTGCTGTGACTGAAATAAACTACACTCTATAAAAATTGCAGAGAAGCATTTGCTATGATCACACACCATCATGCGGCCGTATATTTATTTTCAGACTTGTTGAACAGGCACGACACGGGGTGTTTTTAAAGTATTGTTTCTATTGGCAATGCTTTCATGTTCTCAGGAAATACAGTCATAACGTCCGTGGGTTCATGACATATTTCATTTCATTGTTGAGTTTTAATTGATCACAGCACAGATGCTCAAAATTTTGCATCAGGTTTCAATTCAACTCGCAATTCAATTATGCAAAAAATAGTTCAGTTGTGATTTGACTTGCCAGGAGCTGAATCGGGCACTGCATTCAAAATCGTCTAGTACGCAGATAAGCTCTGCTGCAAATTTCTACTTTTGAACCTTGCGTTTCGTTTGCTTTCCCGACTCTATAATCAGTTTTATTTATTTTGTTTTTATCAATTGCTTCATCGTCTATTGCTGATTATGGAGTCAAAATAAACTTATAATTACTATCCAATGAATGCAATCACAGAACAGCAGAATTACTCTGCCCCTGCTCCACTTCGATAACTTATGGTACTGACGCAGGGATGACTGGCAGATGACACGATCACCTACTTTATCCTAATGCCCCAGTATATCTTTTCAGATATTACAACCAACAAAACCATTCCAAATACGCAAATAAATTCAAACGGAAATCCTATTCCGTAAGCTTCAAAATATAGCAAACTGATGACGTAGTAACGCATCACTCATGCGTAGCGAACCGGCCGCGAGCGAACTATATTCAGTAAACTATGAATTGACGCCAGCACCATACAGTCTTACATTTAAATCATGAAAATTATCGAAAGAAGATAAAGTCAGAATAAATTTCATGATGTACATTCAGAATAATGTTCAAGCAAGGAGATGATCTTCGACAAGACATGTTAACGTTACAATTTGATGAATCAGCTATGGCAAGAAGAAGGACTAGATTTGTATTTGCTCCTATATGGTTGTATCAGCACGGGTGAGGTATTCAGTCACATAGTATATATAAAATCACAAAAGTAGAACATCTTGAATTACCAAAAGTACGTATTCTCAAATACATATCTATATGTAACCTCAAATATACGGAATACGGAGCTATAGACTTCCACAAATCTGCTTTGTATTTCGATTCGAATCACGTTTGGGGTCTCGTGCAGTAGCCTATATTACATCAGTGGTTCCCAACCTTTTTTGGCTCGAGTCTCCATTTCAGAGGCTTTTACCACACAAGGCCCCTGTTTATCATTCCAATGGTATTTCTATTGTTATTTTAATTGGTAGATTCCAAATCCCATTATGTTCAAACGATTCATGCTCAACGAAGTGTGAACAGTATGTGAAACAACCTTATACAGCAATGAAACTGGGAAGAACGGGGAGTTTTGTGGTCCCTTTGAGGAGCCACGGGCCTCCGGCTGCGAACCGCTGCCATACATACTTCTAGTGGGCGTGGCCTAGGACTTTTTCAATATGTTTTTCTGATTCCCACCTGACTATGTCATTCACGAGATCAAATAATACCTTTTTTTCCAGTATAAGCCATGTCGATATATGGTTTGAATCTCTCTCTGTGCGCACTGTATGCCTGTATATCTAATGCGATTGCGACTCGTATTTCAGGTTTACTTCATGGCTTAAATTAGAGGTTCGTTCAGAGATGAGGTACTCAAGAAGTGGATGGAAGATAAAAATCCAACCTCATCAAAAATGCAGGAAGCAGTCAACATATTTATGTTATCATGCGCAGACTATTGTGTAGCAACCTATGTTTTGGGTAAATTTCGATCGATTTTAAGTTATTACATGTATAAGCGAATAATGGTGATACAGTTACCGTCAGCGCAATGAGGCTCAATGCGTTAACTTGGTCATAACTTCCAGAAAATCAATTGGCAATAGCATTTTCGATATCATCGGTAAACCTTTGCTGGTATCGCTATAGGGTGGAATAGTGAGAGCATGTTTTGCCCAAACGCAAGATTCACCTGTGTGCGCGCGTGGAGGAAATGCGTTATTATACACCTTCACTTTTTTTTCAAGTTTTATCAGAATTGACATTTTTAGGTATTGGTAACAGACATAATGACAACATAATGGTGACCACAACTGGCATTCTGTTCCGCATCGATTTCGGGCATTTTTTCGGGAATACCAAAAGATTTTATGGAAATCAACGAGAACGTGTTTCGTTTGTGCTGACGCCTGACTTCGTACACGTGATGGGCACTGAACAAAAGTTTTTAAAGTTTAAGGTACGTTTTGCATGTAATCTTTTACGTCAAATGTGTGAGAAAGCAACTTGGAATTTAGCTTATATTTGCATGTTGGGTGCATTCAATCATGTGACATCAAGTGACTTCTTTTTTGGATTTTTATTAATTACTCAGGTAGTCGTGAACGCTAGCGTTGACCTTTGTCTCATGATTTGCAATTTTTTTGACCAAGTTGTTTCATTGAGAGTGTTGACTAGCATATTTTTCTGTCCAGGGCCAACAGATATTTGCGTGCCCGTCTTTTAGACTTCAATTCTACGAGGCGCTTTTATTGTCGATGGTTAATGAGTTTTATTAGTCCAATCTTAGTTAAAATCTATTTTTCAACAGGACTCATGTGTGCATGCATTCCTTATCATGCGAGGTATTCCTGAAGTATGCGCACCAAGATGTCGCACAACCTGAACCCTAGCCTGGTACACAACCTGAGTACAGGTTGTGCGCCATCTAGGTGCGCATACTTCAGGAGGTCCTCATTCGAAGACATACAGCATTGTTCATAAACTTATTTCATATGATAAAAGCGACATGTATTACGGAGCTAACTTCTGTACGAGATATCCATTATTTGAGAAAGGTAATTCATTTAATTGCAATAAATTATGATTTATTTTTCCTCAAATTTAATTTTCGTCTCTATAGAGGTGACTTTTTATCAGAATTTTGCTAGTTGCAATATATATACGTTGGGCCTGTACGAGGTTTGATAGGGCAGTTCACCGGAAAGTTCTTGTTGCTTTGTGTTCATAATTAATATGTAAAAGCCATTGTTCATAGCAAAGTTCACTTATATTCACGTCTCTGTTATTCTATTGTAGCGAATGTGCATTGTATAGGTTCTAATTCTTTACAAAGTGAAAAAGAAGCAAGGGAATACTTTTTTAACGAAATCAGTGGTGTCATAAAAAAGAGTTGGACGGTACAAGTTAACTGGTTTATGCATTCAAGAAATTCATAAACTGTTTCAGCATGCGACAAAGACATATTGAAATGTGGCTACGTTTTTGGCGACATTGCAAGGTGTATTTTATCCCAGTGTGAATGAAAAATGAAACAACTTTGCACTCACTTAGATTAATGTTTTGAGCCATAAAATTTCATTATTATACTTGGAAAGCAACTTTCATTACTGACGTACAATCAGGAATTCTGCTCCACTTGCGCTCTGGTATTGCTATGTTCCGTAGTTAAAATTGCGTTTTTTCACATTTGCTTGACATGTGTGCCATGTGTCACACACACCGGACCTGATATAATAAAACTTTCTTCCTAATATCTAACTTCTATTTGATATCTTACGGATGTTTGACATATACTGTATTTTGTCACAAAAATTAGTACGGTATTATTTGTGTACATTTGCTTCACAGTGAATGTATTTTAGAGATTATATTTGAATCTTTACGAAATATAAAACTTACATACTTGAGTCTGACGACTTTGTATTTCAATAGGTTTTTTTTATACAACAGCAGAGATAGTTATTCACAAAACAAACATGTCGATATGAATTTTGGGTGAATTTAGTTATAGTTCCATTTACTCCATCATTTCAACTTTCGAATTTTTTATTTTATCAAATATACGAGTTTTGAAATAAATGTAACCTTCTTATTGTATTTCTAATCGTTGCTCTTATGTTCTGAACACAACATAACCTTTTACATATCAGTCATTCTAAAATGCATATTGAATACATAAACACTAGACGGGTTTGTATGTATTAGTGAATTCTTTTATTGCAGATATTGATAAAGTTTGTCAAATCAAAGCAACTCAAGATTCTCTTTTAACATAAATTATTACTATAACTAAAATTGAAATGTCGCGACGACTGCAAATAAGAGTTTGACAGCTTCCTAACGTAAGCAAAGTCTTCAATTGAATTGAAAAAAGAATTGTTCAAGCCAAAACCATTTTACCAACTGGTAGAAGATTGGACATGTTGGACGGTTTTAGCTAGTATTGCGAATGATTCCAACAATCATTTTCAGCTGTAAATAAAGATGGTACATAAAGTATATTTGAAACATTTTTTTGAGAAAACGCTCGCTAATTGAAATGATGAAATTTTTTTATTTGCTTGCCACCATATACATTTTATAATTTTGTATAATTAGCTCTCCTGCTACTCTCTCGTCAATGACTTGATAACTTTCTTGTGTTTGGGATACATCGTAATCAATTCTTCAGTCGTTGGTTGGTAATAATCTTCAATTTCAAACCCAGGAGAGACCGTGATTCCAAGAAGAGAGTATTTTCCTTCACCTGGATATGTCAAGCGTGCGGCGTACCAGTCACCTTCAAAATATGAAGAAATTTTATCATATCAATATCGTGACTGAAAATGATCTGTTAATGGAGATAGATATCGTGTTATTTAAATATCGCCGACTATTTAATAGGTAACAAAATACATCATACCTTGTTTGACTGCAACTACAAAGTTTTTGGCCGACTTTCCGAGATAATGACGCGTAAGTTCGCCAGTCACATGATCAATGACGAAAAGGGTTAATCTCGCCCCGTGATAAAAATGCCACAGCTCATCCGATTTTAGTCGATGGAACAGAGAAAAGTCTTTATTCTGGTTCAAAATTATTATGAAACGAAACAATTATTTATATTTAGTATTAAACCCTTTAAATTCTTGGAATATGTTAAATATTCTTTCTGGTGGCATTAGATTATCGTATACGTTTATTACAGGTAATTATATTTGAAAATTTTCGGAAATTCTACAACAAGCAAATTCTCAATAACCAATAGGTGTCATCAGATATGGCGTCATATGAATAAAATATACCCGTCAGTAATTACACGATGAACAGTCTGAACATCACGTATGCATGTGGATAACCAGTTTTATTATCGTGTATTGAAATTTCTTTCAGTTCGTACGAATCATCTTAATAACAAACTATATAAACTTGATAAGGCCGAAACATTGTCTACCGGTATGTTTGTTCGTTTCTCAGCAAACTTTACCTCCAGTAGGTAGTAAATATGTGTGCCAAAGACTCTAGTTGCGTTTGCTCCATATCTTTCTGGAAGATGATCTATTTTTTCCGTACTTCTATATATTTCAGTGTACCAACCTCCCTCGATATTAATATCCATGTTGAATTTGTCAATCCAGTACTTTGCGGTCTGAAAATAATAAATCATCCGCAAGTAAATTATTTGATATTCTGGTTTGTGTTGTCATATTTCCTTTAGATATTATGGATTATGTGACGGATCTTAAGCTAACTTTTAACCGTTATTAAACCAGTCGGTCGACAATCATAAACCATGCTCAAATATCTTGTTTAATTGCAATAACACAGCCCGAGGCTTAGTCAATTGACTCAATAAAAAATTATTTTTAATTAAATATAATAACTTCAACGCTATTGTAAAGTAATTAATGTGCTTCGTAGTAAGCAAATATATACCATAGAAAGATTCCATTTTCTGTATGTGAATTTCAAAGGAAGAAAAGTTCGCGCTTATTTTTTTAGGTACATGTTCATTGCGTACAATTTTTACAAACTAATTCAAGACAATAAAATATCTCAATAAGAGAACAGGTTTACAGAAGTAGTCATGAAGCCATTTGGTTGATAATTACTAATTTTCCTATTTTTGAGCGTTGGTTGGAGTGTTTTTTGTTTGCGGGGGTTTTGTACAAAAGATCCGAATTCGGACTAAAAACATAAATCTCTCACCAGTTTTATTCCTGTACCTTCATGAACATTGATCGCTAAAACAACCAAACAAAAAATTGTAAATAACTTCGGCAGCATCATCGTCGTCGTCCAAAAATAATGTGTTTGTCCACTTTGAAAATTTTCTTTTATATGGCAGCAATCTTCACGTACTATATATCCCGAAGGCAAGTTTTCATACAAATTTCATATTACGGGTTTGAAAGTGACCGGTCTTAAGCACGTCAGTTGAGTCTCATTTTTTTTTCATAAAAATGCAGGTACGTATTTACACATTCTCAGAATTTTACCGGGAACGGTGTAAAATTGTCGGGTAAACGGGAGTAAACAAAATTATTTACTCGTATGTTAACGTGGCAGTTCGCACGTTCGAAATTGCCCAATACTATTCAAGCCTAAAATTAAGAGTCATTGTTGAAGTTTATTTTGTATTTTATACAGCAGATACAAATGAAAGTCAGAGTGTTTTTTTAAAGGTAAAAAACGAATCATAATTTTGCAACTGTTTGTATGGACTGTGATTACAAGTTATAAATGTAGTAGATAATACCAGACGCAGTACTTGTGTTATTTCAAACATTTCAGTGCTTTAATTTAATAATATTTTGTGGTTAGACTTTAATCTAGCCGCATGCGGTAAATAAACCCGCAGACGTTTGGTACGTGACATACCCCACGTCAACTCATAGGTGAACCAGGTTTAGAGCGGTCATATGACGCTCGCTATTTCACCGAAACTAAACACAAGTGATTATTGACTCGATGACTAAAATATAATCGTTCAAAGCAGTGGTTCTCAACCTTTTTACTGACGGAGTACTAATTCGCAAGACGGACGAAAACATGCTCATCTCGATTCGTTCGTGGACAATAGCAGGCGAGGGCGGTCTCTAAAGACTGGACTGGTCCATAGGACGTTTCACCGACCCTTGATCCCATAAAAATTCTTTCTGAACTTTACTATTTCAAGATTTTTATACTTATTTCGAGGGTGTTTTTATGTGTTGGCGCTTATAAGCTGGTTTACGTGTTCGAAACCATCATTTTTATTAAATATTAATCAGCCATGTGCCGCTTACAGGCACTGATAGCTTATTTTGGGCTAGTCTATCGCAGCATTTGCGAGACTCATTTTTGATTACATAAACCAAATTAATGCTCCTTTGAAGACATAATAACAATTAAGATATTTAATTCACAACTGTTCTTTTGAAACACAACTGAAAACTGAGGAAAAGCACGCAAAACACAAAAACGAGGCAATGTTAACTTTACAACCATACATGAGTATCATCTATCCAAGCGACAGAAGTCTCTGAGCGGCTGCAGAAATTGCAATTGTTACGTCATTGTTGACTTTTTGCTGATTGGTTATGGTTACGGAAATAATCAAGGAAATTGATGACCGGGGAAACATTCATAAAGGCCGTTCAGCAAATACATAATAAGCAGAAGATAAAGCGTTGTCGGCATAATTTAGCCAACTCAAAAATTAATTGTTGCAATAATTCAAAGCTGTTCCCTTACCAACGCGTGCCAATACCTTATAACAACCTAATTATAAATATTTATACATCAAACTAATTTAGAACGTTGTACTGAAACGTACATCGGAAGTCTCACTTTGTTGTGTGTCATTTTGATGTTTTTATATATTTTCCAGACAGCAATGTTACGCGTGAGTCCACTAAATCGTCACGCTAATAACCGAACTGCGTAAATCATTTTTAGCAGTTTGGAGAAAAACGTAAAAAACTTCCTAATGATATTGTTATGCCATTGAGAGTCAATAATTTGCCATGGTTCAATTTTTTGATCGTAGCCGGATTTAAGTTAATTTGTATGACGCAGTTAAGTGACGTCACAATGGCGCACTGTGACTTAGGCAGAAATGTGTCTTTGACTTGGGGACATACGCAATTTTGCAACTTTACTATATGCACCAGTCCTGAAAACTAGACATTCCAAAAACGAATGTAATTCTCAGTATCTACAATGTCCAATCCCCAAAATAGCTAATCAGTTTCAATTACATTATTTTTTATGTTTAAAAATATATATTTCATCAGGTGACCGTACATTTGAACCCACGTACATTTGAACCCATGTGTATATCCACGGGTTCAATCTATATGCGGGTGCTAAAACCCATGGGTTAGGGTTAGTGTGGGTTCAACTATCCGAAAAACAAAAAAAATTCTATAGGTGCAATAGCATACAGGTGCAATTGCCATGGGTTCAAATGTACGTGGGTTCAAATGTAATGGAACCATTTGATCAATATAACACGTTCTGCACACCCACCGAAATGAGATTAAGATTAAATATAAAGAATAAAACAGCAATGCATCCAATATAAAAGCCAACCAAGGTGCATTGGACTCGGACAGTGAATATCATAAGTGCACGCCTTCCTATACTGTAGTATAAATTCAAATTAATACACGCTGAGCTAGAATCCGAGATGCAAAAACTCGAAAATATTCCGCGAGGTTATTTTGACTTTGTGACGTCACAATAGTCCAGCGGTAACAATGATAATTCATTATGACAAAACAATTGCACAAATGTGCATGTCATACTAAATCTCCATTTAATGGGTTTCGGAATTCTTAAAATAAAATCTGAGTTAACAGACAGGTGCGCAGCATTACATAAATACCTATTTCATAAAAAACTCAAATCGCCAAAAATGACTTACGCAATTCGGTTATTAGCGTGACGATATGAAACTGATCTAATTATGAGATCACACACACTGAGTCAGCTTGAGCCACGCGTGGCATTCGTTTTCAACTATTTCATGAACATGACATATATATCAATATTTTATGCTGGACAGATGGAGTTTGAAATTGTAAACCTGCAAAATGACCTACCCTCGAACTCTATCTGAGTGTGCTAAACGTTTGAGGCCTTGTTGGTACAGTGTACAGCGGTGGGGTCTGAAAAGCAGCTTTGGAGGTCGCAAGCTTGTTGGTTCTACCTATCTTGTGAATTAGTCTTTTCTGACATTAACTTCATCAAGGACACAGAACACGACATTCTAATGAACATTAGCAAAACTCACTTAAAGTTACGGTGTCAAGTTACACACCAGAGAACAACATACTGGCGGATAGCATGTAACTTATTGACGATCGAATGGACCAGATCTGTTCCAGGTTGAAAAAAAATATTGATGACATTATTTATTTGCAAAATGTCACATTTGATAGCACAACTGCTAAATCCGTTTCATTTTAGGCATGTGCAAGGTGTATTGTGATAGGCTGTTATAGAAGTAGTATCATTTTAAAACGTTCAATCTAAAAAACAATAAATTTGAAAATTTAAGTGTTATTATTGATTGATTTATTTTCTATATATGTAGTTATAATTGGTGATAATTTCATGGAAAATCTTTAACATTATCAGTGTTTCCTCATTGCTAAATACCATTAGTAGTAATAGTTGAAGCTTGATCGACCAAATTGGCCTTTCAGAACTGTGCATTCGACCGGTAGCCCTTAGTTTAATCGCTATCCGGGAAGTAGCTCTCGGCTTCATGAAGGCTTGTGACCCCTAAATAAGTATTGGCGAACATTTTCTTCCGTTCATTCAAAAAATATTCTCAGCTTGTCATATATCTTGTATATAAGTCAGTACCAGATTTTTTCAAAGAATCCCAATGATATCACGAGAACAAGAATGAGAAAATTGCTACATTTTATAGTATATCCCTGGGAAAGAATGTAGTTCATTCTTATGTTTCATGCCAATGCTTTTCAAACTACCAAAGACTCTCGAAACTTTTGCTTCTTCTCTTCTACAAAAATTCATTGTTATTATATATTCGCATTTCCATCTGTTTGTTCGTGCTCCCAGATAACCGATCAGCGGCCTCCAAGGACGACGGGGTCCCCTTTTAAGAAACCGAGTCATAAACTAAAAGAGGCGACCGTGCTTCTCTTGCCTGTTGTCATGCTGTCCCTGGAATTCAGCTACAACAAAAATTTCACGAAAACGGATTTTTAAATTTTATGATTTTATTAATATTCTCAACAATGAATGATATACGGGTGGTAAAATGCCAAGTTATTCCAACAACAGGATCATGTTTTGCAATTTACAACCAATATTTTGTATGTAACTTTGTTTGACAGAGCACCAGGAGCTCTAACTACAAATATCAAAAATGTGGGGCCAAAAAAGTCACACTACAAAATTGTCAAATGTGCTGTATTTACGATAGATAACAGGTTTACCAAAAAGAATTACATGAAAAATGGTAAAATAAAGATCAATTCAGCAATATCTACTCGGTGATATGCATCTGTTGATGATTTTATGTGTTTGTTTCGGAAGTTTAATAACAGAATTAATTGTTGTTGTTGGGGATGTTTTAAAAAAAGGTTGCATGGAAAAAAGTTTTCACAAAATGTCAAGGTTTGATAGTAGTAGAGAAGTAGAAAAAATACTCCCATGTTTTTTTTTCATTTGATAACCACGCCACAGAACTTCCCCGATAAGTATACGCAGCAATTGCGAGAGGCAAAAATGCCAAGATGGGATTTCATCGCATTGCAAACCAATATTAGCAATTCCTATATATATTCGCGCATTCCCATCTGAACAGCGTGGAAAAGATTGTATATATATATATTATATACATCTACAGACTTTAAGAACTATGTCAGATGAGCGTCATATTATCGAATATCAGTAAAAGAATAGTGCAATGGGAAAAGACATATGAGGCGAAACTTTCAGTAGTATGCAATCAAATAATCTTATTGTAGAATATATATTTGAAAACATTTCGTCACGCCAACTGCAGTCCGAAACTTTTTGTCTCCGGCTGAGCTTTGATACCAATTGGCACTCATGTAAACTGGTAAGACTGTAAGAGACACGCGATGAAGCAGTTACTAAGAGTATCCATCCCCCAGCTGTCATTTGAGTGGGTACTGCTGTTTTTATTGCAGATGGTACTGATCTTTTTGTATTAACTCTTTGAACCCTGAAAGCCGCTATAGCGGCTTTCCCGAGAAAGTCTTCTGACGCTGAAAGCCGCTTTAGCGCTTTAGCCCAACCAAAGTTGCCAGAATTGGGTGCATGAAGAGGTGGGCTAGACCACTTCATTCCCCAAACTAGAGCCTATTATTGCCAAATTATAGTCCAGATTGTAATAAGTATTTAAAGGTACAAGTAACAGTATAAGTAATTATAATTAATTAAGGTAGGACAATGGGGAATAGGAATATGTTGGTTACCAAGGTTATAAGTAATGTTTTTTTCAATCTTAGATATTGACTTCTGCAAGGACAAAGGAATTAGGATTACGTGTACATTTGCACCCACGTTCATCTGCATCATTCTAGATTCTAGAATCACGTCTCTCTTGTACAATTGGTTTAACGTTGACGTGATGAATTTGTATGACCAATTTCCATCGTCATCGTCTTTAAAATACACACCACAGCAAATTCGACTACGTTTTTTTATTCTGTAGAAAGAAAATGACAGACAAAGGTTGGATTGTAATTTGCAATAACTATAAAAACGTTTCGACCCGAACCAAGCATAAGGGCTACCTAAAACTTGCAAGCTTTCTTCATTTCCAACATATAATTATGCTAATTACTCGATAATCAAATTGTTTCGAAAACACAGTTATTCTTGAGCGAACGTCACTGTGGCGGCAAGTGTATAGGAGTGCAAATCTTCGTTGGTGCAAATGTACATGGGTGCTAATGGACACGGGTATAAATATCCCCGGGCTCAAATGTCCGTGAGTGCATATGTCCAGGGTGCAAACGTCAATGAGTGCAAATGCCGAGGATGCAAATGTCCGTGGGTGCAAATGTCTTTGGGTGGAAATATACGTGAGTGCAAATGGACGCAGGTTCAAATGTCCAGGGTGCAAACGTTCATGAGTGCAAATGTTCGTGGGTGCAAATATTGCAAGTGTTCGCGGGTACAAATATCCATGTGTTCAAGTGTCCTCGGGGGTACTCCCGTAGTATGTGAACTAAGATGACGGAAACCGGAATGTAGTATGTGTACCAGTTTAGGGTTAGGCCATAATTTCAGGTACAAATACTACGGAAGTTACTTTGCTAGTCCCTGAACTAGTAATAGAGCTAAAATAATAAAAAATTGAATAAAATTATGGCCTAACCCTAATTCTCAATGCAGTCATGCCATGCATGTTTATGTGGAGTGTATTCCACCATTAGCAAATCTTATGATTTGTTTCAAGATATCATAAACAATGGAAAATAATATTTAATTTGAGTTTACATTTTCCTTATATTTCTACCACCATCTGTTTCCATGCTTATATCTTTAATTTACAAAGTGTATTGCTGCGGATTATCTTATTTATTTAACAATGCGTGAGTTCATGACACACTGTTTCGATTGTACACAATAAACAACTCAACGCAAAATAAAGCATGGAGGCCCAGGGCGTTTGGCATGTTTTAGTAACCTTCGAGAAAGTGACAATTTGTAGGTGTCACGCTATAGACAGAAAAAATTTAAGAACCGCAACTTTAATATCCAAATCAGTGAAACATTCATTTCTCATTGAGATAACTATTTGGTGTAGGTAGACGACGTAAAAGAATAAACCTTATTATGATGACTCAAAAACAATAGAAAACGACCAAATTTTGGATACGAGTGGGTCATAAGACTCCAATTCGCATGTCACATTAGGAACTAATCGTGCTTCGAACTTAATTCAGTAAATTTACCAAAATGCTCTTAGCATTCAGTGGTTAAATGTATTAAAATCCACTATCCTATAATCCATGTACTCAATAAAGTATTTATGGTAGATTCAATTGTTGGTTCGAGATTAACATTTGATTTGCAAATCAATCGCTTATGCCTAGACTCAAACAAATTACATTCTACAAAAATAGCAGAGAGGCATTTGCTACGATCACGCCATCATGCATACGGTCATACAGTTAACACCTTCTTCTCGAATCACTGGAAACTGGATATAGGATATCACTGAAAAACTAGATTGGCGAGAAGAAGGTGTTACCTGTATGGCTAATACTTTCAAAAGCTTCCACAATATCTCTGACGCTTTTCGTTTTTTCTGTATCTTTGCTTAAAATTTGGAAAATTACGTCACCCACTTGGTGGCATTGTATGAGCCTCTGATCAGATATATACGCTTCTGTTCTGTATGAATATTGAAACTTTGGAAAATTTAGTCTCGTTTTCATATTTTCAATGGTATGAATAAATCGTTTTGTAATGAAAAATTGCCATTGCTTGTTTTTTTTTTTTTAATTTCGAATAAATCTATATTTTGCACATATTTACATAAAAAAAATTCCATTGTTGCTTTGTTGAAGTTTGAAAGAAGAGCTTTTACTTCGCGTGTTTAATCGCACTGTTTCAATTATACACAATAAACACTTCAACTCAAAATAAGGCATAAAAGCCCAGGGCGTTTGTCATCGCTGCATATAAAACTGCTTAAGTCTAATTACCAAGAGGTCTTCAGATCAATTTGTAGTTTTCAGTGAGAAGATGAATAGATTAGTTCAACTCGCCGTGTTCTTAACACTTCTTTACCATGTCGAAAGTTGGAAAGTAAGTTTCATAATTTGCAACGAAATGTGATTCACAATGGTTTTGAGTCTATGCAGATATCGAACTCCACAAGCTTAATATTTTTAATATTTAACTAGTACAATAGTCCGTGTCTTTTAATAAGACGAATAGTTTCGATTTCCGGAAAAGTATCAATTACTTACCGCGATATCTGAAAATGATATGCCGTTGTCGCAAATTGACTAGCTATACAACTATCAACAACATCAGCGATATTGAACCATCAGATGTTGATTCCATGTATTGTCCCATGTCTGGGGTTATTATAAACTCGGTACGGTACGTTCAAGGTATATTTGCTAGTGCTTTGTCACCTAATCATGCTAAAACTTCAATTTTTTTGCATTCCATAGAAAGAATTCGTTGTTATACCGTTTTACAGTTGGGATGTTGTTATTTGTTCAAATCTTCCTCAGAGGTTAACATCACAATGACTGTCCATAACTTCTGAGTGATTGTTGAGTGTTTGCCTGACACTGCCAGAAATCGAATTATAGGGACAATAAATTAGAGAACGCTCACATGTTGGTGACTTAAATTAAACAATTCGAACCTATTTAGACGGTTCGATATTGGACAGAGAAGCTTTCAATGACGCAGCCGTTTGGCGATACATCAGGGTGGCTAAGTGATATTTACAAAAGTGATGAAACGTACGATAATCTACCGGAAAGATATGGAATGAACGCAACAAGACATTTTGCAGAACATATCTACTTTCTTCTGGAGGTTGGTAGAATTCGGGACCGATTTTTAATTAGTCACATATTGGAAATAAGTTGATGATAACTGAACTTATTTAACCTACCCTTAACTTAACATACTTACACAAAAAGCAATAAAAATATTGTAAACACATTATTCATTTTGGTAATGACGTGCCATCAAACAATTTTAAAACGGCATACCTTTCTTCTTAGAGTGATATAGTTACACCTTTTTACCGCCTAAAATCTGATGAATTGCGCCATCACTACTACGGAGCAACTTGCAGAATCTACACCATCGAGAAGCAAACGGGACGATTGACCCACCAAGACATAGGTCCCGCTGCTAAGTCCTTTGTAGTGCCTTTGAAGAGAGGTGAGCTGTTGAGTATATACATATACTTTTGATTTGTTTAAAAAAGAAACCACCGTTCCTTCAGGTCAATTGCAGCGGTGTGGTTTCACAAATAAGTGTGCTCGTCAGGTCTGTAAAGACCTCAGATGATTCTTTGTGCTACAAAGCCACCCAACAGGTTTGATAGCCGAGGAGACAAGTAGAATCCCTTATTTCCCAGAAGAAATTGACGGATTTGAACAGTATAATGCAGAACAATGAAAACACGCCCGACCTGCGCGACAGTCAGGCGAAAACGACACGCCTAAACGGGGTCACGTTAACAGAGGTTCTTGGAGTAAGTCAAGAGTAGTCAAATCTGTCCCATTATTCAATATTATATCAGTTGATACCATCTCTGACTCCACACATTTCTGTACACGCCCTAAGATAATACGAACAAATAAAAAAGCGCATATTCCATTTCCGTCAAACAAGGCAACCTTTTTCGTGAAGTTTTAAGCCTTTTTGGTAATTTCTCTAGTCGCTCTGAAAATTGCTCCCTAAGTCCCCATCAAGCAGAATTTTTTAATCATTTCAATAAGCCATACTCTGAAAAGAATTTACAAATTGACGCTCAAACTCAGGAACCGGTTTGATATTTTCAAACTTCCTATAGCGCGGATTTCAAAATTCTAAATTCCTGAGTTTGAGTCACGACTAAGATGAAAAAAAAGCCAACGGAAAACTTTAAACAAAAGCGTTTGCACCTGTGCACAAAGCGAAATTTTGTACAGTATTCGAAACTTTTTATCCCAAGTGAAGTAGTCAACAGTTTTTTTTTTATCTTTCAACAAGTTAACAGGTGACTGGCATGCTATAACTGTAAAGAAGCCTGCTCCAGGAAGATATTGTTTGCTTGGAATAACTGTAATACCCGGATGGAACTTGGAAGATTTTTATAAACCCACAACCGACGACCTAGTGGAATTATATCCAAAGCTCGAGTCAAAAATCAGGGCCATCAATTCTAGATACAAGGGTGGCGGCTCCAACGGAAATGCGGAGTTCGATAAAGATTTCAAATACGATCCATAATCGTGTTATATTCGTATACTTCCCGGAATAAAGGTCTGAAGGAGAACAGCCATATAACAAATGTACATTGATAAATTGGTATAGAAATGCATAATACATATATATATATATAAACTGTCATTGGTTCATGTTTTTTCAGGTACATTCCAGAAATCGCCAAAGTTGTAGGTAACACGCTAGACAGCAAAAAGTGATATTGTTTTGACAAAAGTAAGTAGACACTAGACACCAACCTCATAACTAAGAAAAAAGAAAAGGCGACCTTAAATATTGAAATTATAATGACCCCAGAATACATGATATTAGAGGAACAACTTCAAAGTACAAATATATATCGGAAATTTATTGTACGTTTTAGAACTGTAGTCAGATGAAAACTGTGTAACACTTCTTTTTCGTTCTCTGGAGTAAGCAGCAGATACTTGAAGAGAGTGTTTTGTCAAATAACTTTGGGGAGATCTGAAGGACGATTAGCGTGTCTTGGTGGCAATACTATACTAGGTATGCTACTCACACACTGACGGGATTTCTCTATTATATTTATACTCAGGCGCGGCGCCGCGCTGTGCAAAAGGTATTTGGGAATACACTATCGCTGCTCAATCTTTGTTGGTAGTTTTTATCCCGTGAAGATTATTCTTGTGTGAGAGCATTGCGTACTCCCGACCGACGCAGACTCCAAGTAATTGTCAGCCGGAGACGGTTTCCCGCATCCAATTTTACGAATTTGAAACTTGTGATTAGTTGACCATTCCCATACTTGACTAGGCAACTGAAGCAAGGCCCCAATTCGCACACTATAATCCTTTATCTCAGGGGTGAGCCAAGTGCGACCCGCGAGCCAAAGCTTACATCCGAGTCCAATTTATTATCTATGCATATGGCGTTACAATCTCCTAACAGCGAAGCAAACAACGCGATTCAGAAAGCTGTTATAGGGAGAAAGAGATGAGATGCTGATGATGGGATAAAGACTTTCACCCTATATGTTTAAGTTCGATTCCCGCGTTATTGTTTTGACACGCGTTATGGAATGTGACTCCAATCTGGACTCCTTCAGACGATAATAAGCACACAGTGTTGATGCCAATCGTTGTTGTATATTATAGGAAGATGCACAATCCAAATTCCGAAAACAGATAAAATTGAGACACACTTAACTCTTAACACAGTAAATCAGGAGTGAATCAAAACACATCACACTTAACGCAGTAAAACAGAAGTGGATCTAAACACAATATTATGCAGCCCTCTCGGCAAGCCGGAACGATACGTCATCAAATTGGTCGATACGAGAAAGGCAGTACATGTAATCAGTAATCAGTGTTGCTACAATAAAATGACCTATTGTGGGAAATGGAACACACTATTAAAATGAAAGGGTTAAATACATTATAATTCATAGTTACACAATGCACATTCGCTACACAATTCCCCCTCGACAGTAAAAAAAATTAACTTGATAATTTTTTAAATTTTGGAGTCCGGCCGCCGAGAGATGAAGTGAAAGAAAACAAAATAACACGAATTAATAAAAGATATTGTACGATATATGAGTAATGGTTAAGGTATACAAGAGAATATACGCCGTTTACGAGAGAAAACAAAATACGAGAAAAAAAATTCAAAGGGTCTCTCTCTATGTTGCTTAGAAATGCTTAACATTTTAAAATGGAATTGTAACGAAATAGTAAACAAAATGGCGACAATACTTGAAAGAAAGGACCTAAAAGAATGTAAAACACTTTGATGTTTAAAGGAAGGGCCTGAGAAGAAACAAATGGCGGAATTAGTACTTGATAATAAAACCGAAATTGGTTTGGTGTTTAAGATTGTAAAATTGGCGTTAGAGGTTATTTGAAATAAAATAATAAGTAAGAAAAAATTCTGTAAATTGAATAATGAGTAATTTGACAGATTATTGAACCATTGAATCCCTGAAATTGAACCTGAATCAAATTCTATATGAAGTAAAAGAACTCGTGATATCTAAAAAACAAGGCATTGATTAATAACAAGTAATTACACAGAAAAGAAAACTGACACTGCACAATTATTTTATTTGTATGTTTTTTTTTTTGTTATATTTAAATTCTTATACTAAGGTGTTTTAATGTTTTATAGTGGATAATAATAATAAGAGAAAAGTAATAAAATACAAAACGATTAAAGTGATAAAATACAAGATGATTAATAACGAGGCGACACATTGCGAGATACACACCATATACAACTCGCAACGACCGCCGGAATCGAGTTGACTTAATAGGGTGGGGATAAATTAAAAGGTTGTTACAGTCAAACTTTCGACTCCATTTGAGCTTGGGTGCTCGCACCTGAGAAGTTGCTAGCATTTTCCATCGATTCATCGTCAATTTCGACATCGGATAACTGGTGTATTTCTTGTTGTTCGTTGAATTGTACTACGGTTTGTCGTGGTATGCTGAGAAGTCGTTGTATTGGTTGCAGCAATCCATTTGTTAATGTACGGCGAACGGACATTCGGCAGTTTGGCAAGCTTCGATAAAGCAGGGGTACAACGAATAAAGCGTAAATGAGGCCAAATAGCGGCCACGCCTTTATGACGTAATCTGACAATGTCTTGGCAGTTGTCATTTACGTTTAAAACAAAGCCATTGTATGCACAATAGACTTCGTTTGATTCAATGCAAGATTTCGTTCAAGTTTCGAAGGTTTGCAATGATCGGTATTTCCAATCGGTAAGATTGCCCGATGCATTGTAATATAACAAGAATTCGGTAGTGCTGAATTTCGGAAAGTTGCGAGCTCTACAAGCTTTCGTATCTTCAACATTCCAAACAAATGTAAACACACCTTTCCGGCAAAAACCAGAATTGGGTGCGCATTGGCTGAGGTATTTGAACGTGTTTTTGGTTGCGCTTGACGAAGAACAGCCATGAAATGGTTCGCCAGTAGGTCGTTGTACGTTTACAAATCTTGGTATCAACATTTGTAAGAAGGGCAGATGTCTCGTAGATGTTTGCTGAACAATTCTTCATTGTATGTCGTAAGTCTGTCCATGTAACGATTTGTGACATAATTTCAGTGGTCCCTCAACGGCTTGCGTACTCATACAAAGCATGACAAAGCAAAGTATTGTGTAGTAAAATATGGTCATCAGATATCCATCTGAAATTCGCCTGATAGAATAAAGTCTTTGCTTAAATGGCGTGGGAGTTTTCTCAGCCTTCGCGGCCGATTTGATTGTTGCTGATTTGACATTTTCGGAGACGGCCCCAGTCGATGTGCTGAATCTGTAAAATGAATTTCTGCATCGCAATTTGATCGTTTCGTGCTTGTATCGGATATCGTATCATTATTATTTGAAATATTGAAATTGAAAGTCCGTGGGCGCGAAACAGTGACATCGCTCGCCGGTCGTTCATTTGATTTGGCGCCAAGATTCCTATCCTCAATATCTGCATGCCATAGGTCAGAAGTTGGTAGGTGTGCAACTTTTAAGTTGTCAATTGAACATTCATACGGCTTTGAGTTCCGGTCGACGATAAAATGCTTACTTCCACGTTTTAAGACCTGGAAGGGTCCTTCATAGAAGTTTTCCAGTCCTTTTCTTGATCGACTGATTTTGATAAAAACATGGCTACAATTTCTCAAGTCCTTTGGTATATAAGTTTTCCTTGAAGGCTGTTTGCGTGTTGGATTTGAACAGAGATTTCTGAAAAATCTCTTAAGTTTATTTACATATGTATGAGGGTCAGTATTTGTCGCGTCTGGTTGCGGTTCCACAAACTGTCCTGGAAGGCGTAATGTTGATCCGTAAACTAACTCAGCAGGACTGAAACCCAAATCTTCTTTAACAACTGATCGAATACCAAGTAATACAAAACCCAAATTCGGAAACCAGTCAGATGGATGTTCACAAGCTCTAAGAGAAGCTTTAACAGTTCGATTGAGACGCTCAACTAAAGAATTTTCTTGAGGACGATATGGCGCTGTCAATATATGTTTTGAACCAAGGAATGTCATGAAATCTTTCCAAGTTGTTGATGTAAATTGCGGTCCATTATCTGTAATAACGGTACTAGGAGCACCAAAATGGCTTATATAATTATTAGTGAAAGCGTGTACGATTGTATTAGTCAAACTGTCCTTCAATGGAACACAAATTGGATATCTTGTATATCTGTCAATTATCATAAGCAAATAAACATAACCATGAGATTGGGGGAGTGGTCCAAGTAAATCTACGTTGATAGTGCTAAAACGTTCATCTGGAACTTTGATGTTTTTCAATTCTGTGCGTATGTGTCGTTGAACTTTTGCTTTCTGGCATCGTATGCACTCACGAACAAACTTACGGATGTCTTTACTCATATTCGGCCAGACATAACTGTCTTTTATAAGTTGTTGAGTTCCTGATATTCCTGGATGACACAAATTATGAGTTAGGTTGATAATACGATATCGTAATGAAGTTGGAATATATGTTCGAGGTTTGCCAGCAAGGCTGACGTCACAAATAATGTTTCCCGCCAATCCTGGGACTGGAAATTGTACTAACTGTAGAGAATGCTTGCTTGCGTTCGTTAAAAGTTGCTTCAGCTCGTGGTCGTTTTGTTGTGCGTTATAGATGTCAGTTAACGGGATAATTTCCTGTTGAGGTACAATGGCATTTATTCCACCATGCTCTGCGGGGTGAATTTCAATTCGGCTCAATGTGTCCGCTGCGATATTCAATGCACCGGCAATGTGTTTTACTGTGAAATCGAAAGTTGATATGTATTCAAGCTGACGGGCCTCCCGTTGGATTAATCGCTCTTTCGGACTTTGAATAGCCTGTACCAGGCTTTTCGAGTCTGAGATTAATTGAAATTTTCTTCCTGTCAATTCATGCCGAAAATATTTGATAGATTCAAAAATAGCCAAAAGTTCCTTGCCAAAAGTAGAATAAGTTTTCTGGGGGCCACGAAGAGCTCTCGAAAACATGCCCAGAGGTCTCCATTGATTATTTTCAAACATTTGCAAAACACCTGATATTCCAATGTCAGATGCATCAGTAATTAAAGAAATGGGTGCTTGATGATGTGGATGAACCAACAGCGTAGCATTGGCTAAAGCATGTTTAATGTCATCAAAAGCTTTCAAAGATTCATCATTCCATTTGATTCGAGAACGTTTACTAGGCTTCCCAACTGTCATCTCATTTAAAGGTCGTATAATGGTAGCAAAGTTCTTTACAAAACGATTATAATATGTACAAAGACCAATAAAAGATCTTAATTCTCTCAATGTGTTCGGTTGAGGATATTTTTGCAATACTTCCACCTTGTCGGCTAAGGGTTGTATTCCTTCGGGCGTAACATGATGGCCTAAGAATTTAATTTCTGATTTGTTGAAATGGCATTTATCTGGATTTATAGTAAGTCCATAAATGTGTAAGCGTTCTAGAACTTGATCTAGTGTTCTGAAATGTTCTTCCTCTCTTTTGGTTGCAATGAGAATATCGTCGAAGAATACAAATATATTGTCGATGTTCGCTAAAACTTCGGTCATGAAATAATTGAACGTCGCTGGGGCAGATGCTAGCCCGAAACAAAGAGTTTTAAACATGTACATTTATTGTTGCAGGAAAAGGCTGTTTTTGGTTGATCCGATTCCAAGATAGGAATATGATTATAAGCTTTTGTGAGATCAAGTGTAGTGAAATGTCGACAGCCATGCAATTTATTGACAAAATCGTACAAGTGTGGCACGGGGTGTTTTTCCTTGATCGTGATTGAATTCAAAAGTCGAAAATCGAGGCACAGCCTGATAGCATTAGAACCCCGCTTTGGAACGATGGTAACTGGAGAATTATAAACGGAATTACATGGAATTATATCTCCTAAGGCTAATAAAGTTTTAATTTCTTGTTCCACAGAAGCTTGTAAGTGAAAGGGTACTCTTCTTGGTTTGGCTGAAATAATTTGTCCATTTGTTTGTATTCGATGTACTGTATTGTGTTTAAAGCGAACAGATGTATGTTTAGGAATAGTAATATCTTCATATTTCCGTAGTAAGTTTGTAACTCGACTATCGTGGCTAGGTGAAATGAATGAAGCAGCAATTGTCGGCATAAAGGTTCTCCTGCCTTTAATGTAGTGTTGAGAGCGTGGATTTTTCAATGTAGCTGAACCCACATCGAGTAATAAGTTGTATTTGGTCAGGAAATCAATGCCAATGATAGGGGTTCCACTTTCGCGATTTGAAATTCAAAGTTGTAGGTAAGACCATCTCCAAGATCAAGGGTTAACAAACGAGTCCCATACCATGGTATCTTCGTACCATTGATGGCATAAAGGGAATGACTAAGTGGTTTCTTTATAGGTATAAAATCAGCTGGAATAATTGAAAGAAATGACCCAGAGTCGAAAAGAAATCGACGTCGACTCGATTCATCAATTATGTACATAAGAGAAGTTGGTTGTTGCCATGCTGAGTTTGCTGTTGCACAGATTCTTTCGGGTTTTCGACAACTTTGACCCGATCTTAGTGAAAATTTTGAGGAGCCATGGCACATCCTACACCTTTGCATTTGTAAGCTCTGTCGCCAAAGTCGCGTGATAGTAACAGAGATTGGGGTCCGTGTTTTTGTTTGAGAAATGTTCATTGGCGGTCCATTATTGTGTCGAAAAAGGCGGACCGTGAAGTTCCGGGGGTGGACCACGATATTGGCGATCGCGTCTAGGCGGTCCTCTCAAATTGTTGTATCTCTGAGGTGGGTCTGTCCTGGTAATCATTGCCTCTCTGCTGACGGTTGTAATTTGAGCGGTAGGTTTGCTGTTTTTCCTGTGTAACCTTGTCTAACTGAGTTTTAAGCTGTTTCATCTCTGCCAACACTCTGAATAAGCTCTTGTGTCAGATTGTGGTGTTGTTTTAGAATTAGTAGCAACGCCTGATGCGGAATTTGTATCCCAGAATGTTTCTGCCATGTCTACAATTTGACTAATGGAGCGTTTTGTTCCACTTTTTGCAAAAAGTCGCCTTACGAAAATCGCCACTGGTTCTGGTACAAGTTGAACACATAAAACCGTAATATTTGCTCCGGAATCGGGTTTTTTTGAAGCGTGAAAAATCTAGTGTACGACAAATTAGGCTGTATATTTGGGTAGGTGTCATATTCTTGCATTTAGGGCCTAACGCCTCGATTTGGTCGATAAAATTCAACTCGAAAATTTGTTTGATAGCGTCAATAAAGTTATCATAATCATCCTTCGTTATTTTAGTGTCTCGATCTGGCATAAACTCCTCCATTCTAGCATACTGGTCTGGCGTGAAACTCTGAATTACATATTTGAGTTTAAAATCAGGATCGATGATTCCGAAATATGTGAATGAAGCAGTAATATTATAGATCCATTGCCTGACAGCGTGCTCCCAAATAGGCTCGCGTTTGTTCGAGGTCAAAAATTTTATATAGTTATCAGGCAACATAACCGTCTCCGTATTCGAAGAGGTGGAAGAACTAGATGAACGCGGTGTAGGGTTCTCAGAACTGACATTCTCTGTAGTTATTGAAGATGTAGAAGAGCTTGATGATCCTGGTGTAGTGTTCTCATAAGAGATAAGTTCTGTAGTTGTAGGCGAAGATGTCATTGTGCACTGTGTGGTTTTGCGTGAACGAATTTTAGTAGTTTGTATTGCTACACTTATCCTTTGTAATTGAGTTTTAAGTGAGGTTGAATCAGAGCGTCTGCTTTCTGAATCTTGCTTTTGTTTAAGGCGTTGCGACTGTCTGGTACTTGACATGCGTAACACTAAAATCTAGCGGCGACGGAACGCGACGAACGCATAAAGTGTGTATCTGGCATTCCTATATAAAAATTACGCATTACAGTAAAATAACAATATATAATGTTCGTTTGAATCCTTTGTCCGTGAAAACGTCTCGAGAATAAATATGAAAAGGTATTTACTTGGAAAGGCTGCTGTCCTCATTGTTGAATTCCTGAATTGCCATCATGAAGTTGATTTTCCAGTTGTTGAATTGATTTTTCCAACTTGTTGAATTGAATTTCCAAGCGGTTGCGTGTCTTTACACGTCGGAGGTCATCAAAATATAGGGAGAAAGAGATGAGATGCTGATGATGGGATAAAGACTTTCACCCTATATGTTTAAGTTCGATTCCCGCGTTATTGTTTTGACACGCGTTATGGAATGTGACTCCAATCTGGACTCCTTCAGACGATAATAAGCACACAGTGTTGATGCCAATCGTTGTTGTATATTATAGGAAGATGCACAATCCAAATTCCGAAAACAGATAAAATTGAGACACACTTAACTCTTAACACAGTAAATCAGGAGTGGATCAAAACACATCACACTTAACGCAGTAAAACAGAAGTGAATCTAAAAACACAATATTATGCAGCCCTCTCGGCAAGCCGGGACGATACGTCATCAAATTGGTCGATACGAGAAAGGCAGTACATGTAATCAGTAATCAGTGTTGCTACAATAAAATGACCTATTGTGGGAAATGGAACACACTATTAAAATGAAAGGGTTAAATACATTATAATTCATAGTTACACAATGCACACTCGCTACACTGTCACAATTTGAGGAAAGTGCGGAGCAGACGCTAATGAGCTGGTAAGAACGGGCAATCGAAGATTAGGCAATTGGGTAGAAGTTTAAAAAAAATTATATTGAGAGATACAAAAGCTAAATAAGTTTTGGTTCTAACCTATCAGTTGATTTCGTCTAAATCTAATCTAGAGTAAGATTTGACAGCAAATTATTCAGAAATGAATCCTAGCGATCTTTACCGAAAACATCTCAACCGAGATAACTTTCCACATATATTGGAAAGAGAATTTTTGGCTCAACATATTTTTTTCTAAAATGGACTTTATAAACCGCCTGAAAAACAAAGACTTCGAAATGGATATATATCGAATTGCTAGCACTTACGTTAAAGCAAATTTGGATGAAGGTAGTCGGAAAAATAATCCAGCAGCAAATTTCTCACACAATTTGTTTAAATTTGAATAAGTTTTCAAACATTTTTGCGTTTCAACTCATCATTTCTGCAAGGACCTCCAATAATGCCATAAGATCAATAACAAAAAGACACTAGTCGGTGACAGCAACTAACAGAGAGCCCATGTTAAATGAAGGTGCGGCCCACGGTTTTACCCAGTTATCGATAACTGACTCGCCTACGCGGCCTACGAAAAAGGCTGAACACCCCCGCTTTGTCTCTTCCCGAATAAGGTGATCCTAGTTAGTTGCTAACAAAACTCGAAGGTCGCTTTCTGAACACTTTAAACGCTAACCAGGTCACATGGTCGTACCAGCGCTAAGAGCGAGTGCATAATCAAACATCATTTACCACAGCGTTGTAGCCTTTTCTAGCATTAAGACTATTTGTATATATGCATGCCTCAAGAAATGAGAAAGTTCAGATTAACGGTATGTCAAAACTATTCCCACTGGTCTATTACCCAACTATAATTAAAGACTACAAATATGCAAAACGTCAAATATGATTTTCAAATCCCAATAGATTCAGGTATTTTAAATGCAAGATAAATGATTAGAGGAAAAGCACTGCATCCACCATTTGCAATAAAATTATGTCACCAAGTAAGGAACAGTCTAATAATAAACCGTAAATTCATCAATATGCTGTCAAAAGTGATAAGAGTACTGTCAAAGAAGATGTCGACCAATCAAATATTATCACCATTACATGAATAAATGGAAACTGTATCCACACAAAAATCAAGATTGTGCAGTATTTGAGTTAACACAATTCCCATTCCAAATTTCATTCTAAATGGGCTTTTCAGTGTATAGCATGTTGGTGATCCAAGATATGGTTTCCCTCCTGTTATGGTTTACCATGGTCTGTAACACCTACTAGGATGATACGAATTAAACAGGCTACTTTGAACCAAAGAGAATTGAATAACTACCAATTACTTAGTAATACTCTGTACAGCCTCGATGGAAGCAAAATGTGTATCAGTTATCAAAACACCATCGAATTTCGATAAACCAACCCAAATAAGTTACGACTTCTCCTATTTACCACAGGAGCCAATAAGACAACTGACCACCTTGTCATGTAATGGACCTGCTCGCATGGTGCTACATAATATTAATTTTATATTAGACTAGTAGAATAATAAGCAACAATCAATTATAGGCTCAAAGAGACGTTTCACAAATAAACGAAGCCGGTCAATATCACACTTTACAATATTGTATTTCCAGTCATCTGTCACAAGCTCCATGACTGACAAGTTCTATTTAAAATAATGATAGATTTGAATGTATTTCGTTCAAAATGGTTCGTTTCATTCTTCGTTCTGCTCTTTCGGATTAACCCTCGTGCCTCTTCTTATCTGACCCCAACCAATCAATCTGAACAAACAAAATGCCCAACTAGTTTATATCGTATATTATTTGAATGATGTATTTATTGTACAGAAATTAATTTTTAATACTTCATAAATACTTCAGAAATTAATTTTTAATACTTCATAAAAATCGGTTTTCTTATTGTTTTTCAAGATACACAAGAAGCCGCTGTAATGCAGAACAGGGGTGTGCAACCTGCGACACACAAGAAAACATTGTGCGGCTTACGAATACATGCCAATTTCAAGTGGAATGGGGCTCATGAAACGAGTTTTTAACTTAGTTTAATCTGGTACGTTAGGTTAGATTCCAATCCCTTTGGGTTGCAAAGCCTATACTGTACCTGAGTCCAATTTATTACCCATGTTTATGATGTTACAATGCCCTAACAGGTGGTAGCTTGTGCGAAACGAACAACACATGTCATAGGATCAATTACCAAAATTTTGGTGCCTGCAACTATTAGAAAGCCTATGTTAAATAAACATTTGGCCCACAGAATTAGCCATTTAATTGTATATGGCCCTCCTGTATTGAGGTTGCACACTGCTGATGTATATACTATATAACCAATCCAATATATTATACCCAAGAAAAGAAGATGGGTACATGGCATAAACCAGGAAACAAACGTAAAAAAACTGATGAAAAGAGTGAATATCATAAGTACATAGAGCAGTAAAAAATTTGAATCTATGACCATAATCATCTATCTATCACCTGACCTAGCTTTATCACCAGCGGAAGTTGGACTCGTTAAAATCTATCATGATGACACAAACATACCTCCAATGTTTATCAACCCGTCGACTGAGGGCAATTTTTTCACCAACGTCTGTACATACTGGACCAGTCAACATTACTTTAGCTAAATCAGCCCTGATAGCCAATACCCTGCCTCCAGTTGAAAGAGAACCTATATTTACCATCAAAACCTCATTTTTTGCAAGTTTTTGAACCTGAAATAAACAAATGTCATCATGAAATAAAGAAATTATCTTCTTTCAGACCGGGTATGTTTCCCCAACAGAGTCATTAAACGAAACACAAAAAATAAGATATTAAATACATACGAATTTTACTGTCATTTTTACGTCTACTCAAATAAGCAACTGGTCACAATATTCTTAATTAATATTATACACGTCAAAACACTGTTGCATGGGGAGCACGTAATGAATTGACAAATATTCCTGTTAAATTGTTCATTTTAATAAACCCTGTTGCAGATCAAGATTGTGAAAAACAACTAGAAGCAAAGTAATCAAATAAATCTAACCCTGATGTAAACTTTTCGCAAATGTTACTGAAAACGAATGATCACTTACTCTTGCTCCTTTTTTGTCTCCTTCAGTTTTGACTCCTAGTAAGCGCCGAAGTAAGAAATACGAGATTTCGATTTCAGTAAATATATCAGGCAATGAACCAACAGCTCCAAGTACATGACCCACCATTCTATCAGCCCTGCAGAGAGTTGGATCCACTCTTGTTCCAACACCTTGGTAACAAAAACAACCAGATCATTCAATTTTCACCAGCATAGTATTATCAACAGAAAGTAAGCGTGACAATAATGAGATATTTTGACAGCATAATAAAAATAGTAAAATACACATACATGATGCATGTTGACGATAGACTAATCTAAACTGAGCTATCAGTGACTGTAAGCGGCTTATGGTTGATTAATTTTAATAAGAATTAGGGTTTTTAAACTCGTAAACCAGCTTATAAGAGCCAACACATCAAAACGTTCTTAAAATAAGTATAAAAAATTTGGCAATAGTGAAGTATAAGAAGTATTGTCCACAAACGAATCGAGTTGGGAATGTTTTCGTCCATCTTGCGAATTATGTTACTAAGGGGTGGCACATTATAAAATACTCCCATAGCGCCTGTCTTGTGCCATTGTTCCTCGCGCCAAAAAGGGGCTTTTCAGTGGTACGCGGCCAGAGTAAAAAAAACAGTGAAGTGGTGCGCGGTCAGTAAAAGGTTGAGAACCACTGCTTTAGCAGTAGTTATTGGCCCTCCAGTTCATTTCAATCTACTCACCAATCAAACCACCAGGAACAGCATATTGCAAGTCATTGTGTTCTGCAAATAATGACATAACTTTCGAAAATATAGGACGAACTTCAAGTTTTCCTTCAGAATCTTTTGATACGATTCCAGGTCGAATTTCTATTTCTTGACCAACCTGTCCGTTACAAGTCGAGAATTACAAATTACAATTATTGTTCATTTTGACACTGTAAGACGAAGTGTGGGCACGATGTCCCCACTCCTTGCGCAGGGTTGACTGGGCAGGGAAGAATTCGCACTTCATAGTTGAAAGTAGTATTACTAACATTTTCTACTTACCGGTATTCTTTCTGTATTATTGTATACATAATTATGCACTGTACGATATATAGAGTGTGGGTGCACATAAAACTAGCTAACGATCCATTAAATATTGAACAACAAATGAAAACAGTTTATATGGGTAACGGAAGGGGTACTAATATACAAAAATTGGTTGGGAACTAGTGGCCAAGTTGAACGTTGGACCGAGCTACAACCATGTTTGGAGTGAAAAACAAAAAACACAATTAAGCAAATTGATATTACCTTCAAAACACCTTTCAATATACTTCCACCAGCAACACCACCTTTCAAATCTATTACTTCGCAACCAGGTTTATTTACATCAAAAGATCGAATAACTGAAAATAGGGTATGATTAGCCAACCAGCCAATTTATTACATCAACCCTATATAAAACATTTATAACTAGAAATATATGGAGAATTCAATGCATGTTGAATAATTAGGTGCTTTGCTCCTCTCTTTGAGATGGAAGACTTAATCATAATCTTACAGTAGTAGTTTCCTGGTATAATTTGAAAAACGACACTTTTTCTAGCGATACCCTGTGATTTTTTTAATTTTGCAGGCCTTTAAGATAGCAATTCGACAATGACATCTAATTCAACATAGGCACATAATCTGAGATGTATTTTTAGCCTCAAACAGGACAGAAAAACAAGGTAGCGCAAGTTGCTTTTATGCATATTTTTCAATAAAATTTCTTACCAATCAACCTTGGTTGTGATGTGAAGTCTCTGACAGGAATAGGAATCTTTTTCACAATATATTCACAAACAACTTCTATGTTATATTTGAGTTGTGCCGAGATAGGAATAATTGGAGCACCTTCTGCTACTGTACCTATAATAAAACAATGTAAACAAATAATATTAGAGGCAATGAATAGTAAACTTACTAGCATTGGATAGAATGGGAAAGATTATAAGATGACTTCAGCATATGGCAAACCATGGCCTCCAGTCCGGGTACCAGTCCATGTCAGGTATGGGAATAGTTGAGCAGGTATTAGTCTTAGGTGACTGGGGGAAGACATTTGTCAGCGGGTTGGTGAACCACTCTACAACAGCAGGGCGTCATGTAATCAATTCTCTTACACATAATTATCCTCCACAAGATTGCAAACTTGCAAAAGGTAATCAGTGCAATGTTGAGCGTGTTCCAAGAAGAATGTGCCAACCGTCGATCAAAAGATTAGAGATAGTATTAACTGACATGTTTTTGAAATTGAATTATCTCTTTCTTACGAGCATGCAGCAATACAGACATAGAAAGAATCCATCACATATAGTATCTCGATAAAACAAGTTATGAATAGCAAACAGTGAATAATTCACAATCGATGTGTTTTAACTATAACAAGATACAAGTACAACCATAATCAACAACAAGCTAGCATGAAATTCAAGTTGATTTAACCACTAAAGTCATCTAAAGCCATCTAAACTACCATCATCATAATACCCTACCTTGAACAAATTTTTCAATTTGTTGATATTGCTCTCTCGCTTGACTTTCTTTGACCAAATCAATTTTATTTTGTAATATAATTATGTGCTTCAGTTTCATAATTTCGATTGCAGCAAGATGTTCTGAAGTTTGTGGTTGAGGACAAGATTCATTTCCAGCTGAAATAAACAGTAAACATATTATGGTTCATATAAACTAGATATTCCAAAACTTGGTAAAAAAGTCAACTATAATATCACACCAAGCCAACCTCATATATAAGTCGACTCCCTAAATGATGAATTCATAAAAATTCGCATAAAAGCAGACCCTACAAAACGTAACACGTCAATCACGTGTATGACAAACAATCACAGACTGTTATTGCTGTCATGCCAAGCGCTTGGCGTAATTTTGTGCTTGCTCATCGTGAGAACTTGTAGCTGTTGGAATGAAGTTGGCATAATGTCATATCGTTGGTACTTGGTAGTTTGATCATAGTTAAGTGTGTATAAGGCAAATTTCTAGTGTGTTCAGTTATGTGCATGGGAAGCCCAATTTTTAGTGTGATCAAGGTCATGTGTGTATATGCCACCCTTTAGTTTGGCAACTTTTTTTTCGGTTTTTGATTCTGCTTATACGCTAGGCTGTACAATATTTCAATAGTCACTTGCCACCCTATAGTTGAAATAAATGAAGATAGAAGGTACTCTTACCAATTAATAAAAGTGCAGCATCCATAACAGCAGCTCCATTCAACATGGTTGCCATAAGAATATCGTGACCGGGACAATCCACGAACGAAACATGACGAACTAATTTGAAAGGTCCTGTACATCCAGGTATATTACAGGGAAATTCATCTTCTTTGTTGCTACTGCATGCACAATAACATTCTGGCCGTGGTCCCTCTGTTTTATAAATCTGGATATATAAAAAAAATGTTGGATGGATTAAAAACACTAGCCATTATAGCATTCTTGTTTTGATGTTTATGGTTGTTACTCAAATAGGCTGAAATATGAATGAAACTAAACTCCAATTTCTTCATTCATTCAAGAAACTCATGTCAGAATTGAGCATGGCAAAATACAGTTTTCAATGTTTAAAAAGGTGAACAAGGAAAAAACATAGTTCAGATACAAAATTTAATTCGCATAAAACTAGACATAATATTTCAAATATAAAACATGATTTATACAACTACTTTAACAACATCACTCTTGAACCTATTCAGGTAAACATTCTCAGTATTGATACAGCATCACTGCATTAGAGTCTGCATAATAATCCACAAACAGAGCAGTTCCCAAAGGCCTACATGTTTACAAACTTTAAAAGTACATGTTACCGATCACAAAATTGAATTGAGTTTTCATATATGTGCCATGAGTTTTTTTTTTCTAATAAGTTGGTGCCGCACGAACAAAAAGTTTGGGAATCGCTGTACTAACACAAAATTATAAGAAAAGTAGTAAGTTCCGCAAAACTCCAATGAAATTGAATCAATTTTTTAAATTAGGTAAGATTCTGCAGTATTCTCCACTGACTTTTGCATTTGCATATCCCAGTTTGATTGTAATATTTCTTTCCAATTCATTCTTGAATCTGACAGTATGAACTCCAGATATCGCTTTCACAACTGTGGATTTTCCGTGTGCGACATGTCCTATTGTTCCTATATTTATTGTAGCTTGTCTGCTGATAACTTCGGGTGTCAAAGGTGTCAATACTTTAGGGTCCTAAGTAAAAAGAAATATCAATTAATTTAGTTGAAGATAAGAGTGTCATATGACATCGTAGTGCAGTAGTAGCGTAACTTTTGGATTCCGCAGTCAGATGGGGGTTAAGATTGACATATGCAAAAATTGTTACGCTGCCCCCACTAGAAGTAGCCTACTTGAGGTAAGAAACTACACTAGACCCAACATAGGTCTGTAAGTTGCATTCCGTATTTTGCTCGTTGAGTACGTTTCACAAAAACTTAATAACTGTTTATGTTTAGTGCAATTGCAGACTTGTTACTGTGTTAAGTGTGCCTTATTGCAGTACGGTACCGGTATTGCTGTATTAACATTCCATGCTCAAAAACGGTGAAAAAGCACAATCAAAAATTTCAACTCACAATAGCAATACAGCAATAAGCTGCACGAAAATTAAACAAGCTCGTCTCATATTACGGTACCAATTAATAAACAAAAAACAACTTACCAACGTATCTAAATTTTGTTTTAATAACTTGGGAACTTTTGGCTCAATTACGATTTCACCGTTTAAATCCGTCATTGCTTCTGGCATGACTTGATACACAAAATGCAAATAAATAAGCTGAAAATGAATAGAAAATCGCAATTTCACAGAAGAAAACCAGAATTTTCCTACAAAATTCCACACAAAGCAAAGGAATATCGAAATCAAAAATTTTAATTCCAGACTTCAGAACCAAATAAAATACATAAAATGATAAAAGCATGATGAAATAACACGATCTTTTTAGAGTCATGCCAGATTTAATTTGTTTGTCTTTCAGTATTGTGCGATCTTCATGCATACAAACAATATTTCTTGAAAATATAAATAATATAATATACTTTAGGTCAAGCAAATGAAAAAATATTCACATTCAGCATGTAATATATTTTTATTTTCATTTCTTTAAAATAATATGATATGTTACTATGAGAATTTGGCACGACATAACCCATAAACAACAACGCCGCTAGATGTCAATAAATTATTTCCACGAAATAGCAAGTTTATAATATAATAATATATAATATATTATGAATATATTTTGATTTTCCCGCAAAAAAAATCATACACAAAACACAAACAATGAACACACAGAAGATTGGGAAAATCGGGGAAACTGGCAAAACCTTTTATAAAGGTTTAATACATGTAAATATGCATGCGCCAGTTTACCCACATTCAACACACAAACATACTTTCAAAATAAAAAAGACAAAGACACGAACGGGTATCGTTCGGGCGTCAAACTTGTGTAACATAAACACTCTGTGGGTCCCAATTAACAAATTCACTTTAATAAATACATTTTGATTGGATGGAATGCATGGCTATGGTATGTGTAAACATACATAAACATGTAAACATGTAGGATGTAAACATGTACATGTAAACATATATACATACATACATACATACATACATACATACATACATACATACATACATACATACATACATACATACATACATACATACATACATACATACATACATACATACATACATACATACATACATACATACATACATACACATCATTGCTTTTGCTACAAAAATATGGAATAAAAAACACTCGCTGACGTAAAATGGTGATGCTTTAGTTCAATTTCATTGCAAAAATATTTATTTGTTTGCTTTCGTTAGATCATAGTCTAACCGTAAATATATACTACTAGGTAGTTGTACCAGGTTAGGGTTCAGGTTGTGTGACACCTTGGTGCACATACTTCAAGAGCGCCAATTAGTTTTCCAGTTATTGGTTTTCAGATGCATCGAATGGATAGTGGAGGAAGACGTAAGTTACCAGCGGTTACGTGAACAACCCTACGACGGCGGAGAGTGCAGCAATCCTCTCACACATAATTGTCCACGCATGGAATTCGAACCTGCGATTCCACGCAGGATAATCATTGGTGCGGTGGCGAGCGTATTCCTAATGCTTAGCATGCCTGTGACATCAAGAAAGTCAAAATAGGCAATTACATTATACTCTTTCAGAAAAAGACTTTTTATTAGCAAAATCATTCAAAATATTTTCAAAGTCTTTTTTAGAAAACAGTACTAAAATGTTAATCTGAATTTCTGAAATAAAGCAGAACGGAAGAATTTGATTGCTAATAGTGACATAACGATAATTTACTAAATTTACCGTGCATAACAAATTAATATTATAAGAAAGATTATTTCACTTTTTATTTCACATTTTCAGTAATATTTTGTACCTCATACAGAATACAGAAAAATGCACCCACTATAGCAGGTTTGGGTCTCAATTTGATAAAATCGGCTTGAAACCGGCCCTAGTTGCAAGTTTGTCTGAAAGGCAATTTTATTCCCAGGAGATTTTTGAAAAATGAGGTAACCAAAAAAGACACTTAATCCGATGACCATGAGAGTTAATCGTTCTCTTGTTGCAATTTATGTATGCTATGTTCCCGCTTATTAAGTTTTAGTTGCGCCCTTTGGTTTTTACTGTTCAAAATGTCGGGGTTTGACGGAAGCTTGCAGAATAACGTAGGGGTTCGACACGATCGCAAAGGTTAAGATAAGAGCCTCTGGGAGTCTTGCTACGAGCACGAGAGTCTTGCTACGCCACTGCTGCCGAGCCTAATAAAAACTAACGACTACACCAGCTATTTCGTGGAAAGAGATTATGTTATTGGACACGAACTGGACATAACGATCGTTTTTGACATTGTGTTGTTTTGAACCCGAGGTTCGGTGGAGCTATTACAGGGGTTCGACGAAGGTCCTCTTCTAGATTTTTTTTTGTCTTAATCCCTATGAAATAAATGTTTATCATGAATTCATTATATTATCCAGCAGTTCAATTGTGTTAAAATTACTATAGTTTACCGCATATATCCAAACTTCAACAGTAAGACATTTCATAAAACAGTATATAACTCGGTATAGTTTCTCGCAGATATAATATAAGTTTTTTTAGGCCCGTCAATGTTATACTTTGGATACATTGAAAACTCGATGTATCATCACAGATGTCGCGGGTGTTCTGTATGATATCGTTTTCAGATTCTTTCTGCTTATAGCTACAAAATATGTTAGGTTGTTATGTCAAACCTCTGGGGTTCAAGCCTAATATTTTGTTGAATGACACCTTATTCAAATCTACTAATAAAATGTAGCTCAGTGTTAAAGATAAGTTGAAAATTGGAACTAAGTGTACATGAATGAATCTTATATCAGGGCGTGTAATAATTTCACTAAATGATAGAATTCACAGCAAAGAATAATAATATAGCAGTTTTGATTAAAAAATAGCATCACCCATCCTGGACGGCCTTAATAAACGGCCTGGACGGCGCTGAGTAAAATTGTATTTCTATTTCTGTAAAACAATGTTTGAAGTCCGGCAATGGCGGACTTTGGCCATCAAGGCTTTCGAGGCATCAATTCAACTTTTGCTTTGCGTATTTTCCTTTTTCTAGTCCCACAACTTTGTTGTAGCACAACACTGATTATTTCGGCACAGTGTATTGATATCTAATGTTGTTTATGAAAAAAATATGTCAACTAAAAATGTGCTCTGTCGGATGATTACACGCAGCTAACTGTTCTCTTGTTGCAATTTATGCTGTTATAACTAGTGGTGCACTCAGGCAGTAGGTGGTTGACACCCCTTTGTTATTGCATGTCCTTTAAATATAAACATAAAATCACAGACTATGCCCAACAAAAACTTAACAAATTTATACTGATTGTTGCTTTTTGTTAAATCGCACAAAATCATAAAATCAAGTTGCGCCTCTGGTTTTACCTGTTTAAAAACGTTGGAATACAACGAAAGTCCGCAGACGATTCGGCAGGTCCACAAACGTTAAGAACAACTGAGATATAGGAACATATTTTTATTAACGACGATATAATAACAACATGTGCTATTACTCTAAAACAGTGGTTTTCATATGGAATTCTGCCAGTACAATCCACGGGTTTCACAAGTTTTCATTCATATCCCAGAGTCTATAACAGTGCTGGTCAATCGTTTTTGGAATGGTAGCTTACCTACACCCTTTCTTAAAAACTCGTACACCCCGCCCATTCTACATTTTTAATACATAAAAAACTCAATTCTTGTGGTTGGATATATATATGTTTATGTCTCAAATTTCTGAAAACATTCTATGCTTCTGGAATGAGGCCGAACAAAATTAACAACTTTTATGATATCACTGGGAATAATATCCAAATCACTTTTCTGAGCCTTTTCATAACTTAGTTCAGTGCTCTTCAACAGGGGTTCCGCGGAACCCTAGGGTTCCGCAACACATGTAGTGGGGTTCCGTGAGTCTATAGGGTTCCCTAGGGCATAGGTTCTCAAAGTGCTCCGTACGGAGCCCCAGGGCTCCGCGAGAGAAACCCAGGGGCTCCGCGAGCTATTCGATTACTCTTCAAAATACTGACTCAAAATTTTGTAACTGTTCAAAGAAGCAATAACAGCTTTGATAACATCTGACAACAATATAGCCTCGAAATATGGTAAAGGGCCGGAATTAAAAAATGACATTATTTGGGGGCAGTAGCGCAGCCAGGATTCTTAAAAGGAAGGTGGTTCAAAATTGGAATCGGAAATTTCCGCGCAACATTTTTCGCGATTAAAAAAACGGATAACGAGATTTCTGTTGCGTAAAATATTCAATCCAAGACCGATGGAGCATTTGACGTGTCTCGTCGGTATAATGTAGTTGTGCTCATCGTTACTCACGTTTGATTCGAGATTACTATTAGGATTACTAAAATGAAAGAATACTATTCTAAAATAACATAAAATATGTGATAAACTGCCAACTATAAATAAATTGGTGTCGTATTTTTGCGATCTTGGGATTTGTCAAACTTGATTTGTTCTTTCGCACTTGAGATTATTTTTAAGCAAGATATCGCTGTTTAAAAAATCACAATGTCTGGGGAAAATACGAACAATTGAAAATTATTTTATTGCATTCAGCTCCGTCGGTAGTTTCAGAATGAAAAAAGGTACATCGCGGATCGCGCGCACCATTGATTGCGTGCGGCTGTGTCGGTAGTTTCAGAATGAAAAAAAAGGTAAATCGCGCGCACAATTGACTGTGTTTCGATTTCGCAGCTACTACGATGAAAACCTAACATAACACCAAATTTTGTGATTTACAATGTCTATAGAAGCGTTTTCAATCTGAGGTGAGTCTGCTGAAACCAAAGTGTGATCTTCCATTTTAAGTTTCAGTTTAAATATTTTAGAATGCCGCTTTCCAATCAAGAAATTTGAGTTGTGGATTTACCTTTTTACTGATTATTATTTTTAGCATTTCGTCGCCGATGACTATAATATGGTAACATGTTTTTCACATTGAACTCATAATTCCCCACGAGAACAAAAAAGCAATTAACGTCGTCATTGTGTAACAATACATGTATATGCCGAGGGAAATTTTTGATTTAGGTAGAATAAACAGCGGCGTAAAGATGTTTAAAACACGCCATGCTGACGGAAAAAATCGGCGATTGTAACAAAATGAAGTAGCGCACGTTACTAACGGCCTTTTAATTAAGTCTTCCAAAAATGTCAAAAAAGAAAAGATTCGATCCCTAATTTATTAATATGTTCGTCAAGTGTCAAATTTACAGCTTTAGTATAAAATTTAGATTTATTTATGACTTGTGTTAACCCTATTAAAAAAGGTTCAGCATTT